AACCTAAGAAGGGGACGAACCTGAGAAGGGGGCGAACCTAAGAAGGGGGCGAACCTGAGAAGGGGGCGAACCTGAGAAGGGGACGAACCTAAGAAGGGGGCGAACCTGAGAAGGGGGCGAACCTGAGAAGGGGGCGAACCTAAGAAGGGGGCGAACCTGAGAAGGGGACGAACCTGAGAAGGGGGCGAACCTGAGAAGGGGGCGAACCTGAGAAGGGGACGAACCTGAGAAGGGGGCGAACCTAAGAAGGGGGCGAACCTAAGAAGGGGGCGAACCTGAGAAGGGGACGAACCTGAGAAGGGGGCGAACCTGAGAAGGGGGCGAACCTGAGAAGGGGGCGAACCTAAGAAGGGGGCGAACCTGAGAAGGGGGCGAACCTAAGAAGGGGGCGAACCTGAGAAGGGGGCGAACCTGAGAAGGGGGCGAACCTAAGAAGGGGGCAAACCTAAGAAGGGGGCGAACCTGAGAAGGGGGCGAACCTAAGAAGGGGGCGAACCTGAGAAGGGGGCGAACCTGAGAAGGGGGCGAACCTGAGAAGGGGGCGAACCTGAGAAGGGGGCGAACCTGAGAAGGGGGCGAACCTAAGAAGGGGGCGAACCTAAGAAGGGGACGAACCTGAGAAGGGGGCGAACCTAAGAAGGGGGCGAACCTGAGAAGGGGGCGAACCTAAGAAGGGGGCGAACCTAAGAAGGGGGCGAACCTAAGAAGGGGGCGAACCTAAGAAGGGGGCGAACCTAAGAAGGGGGCGAACCTAAGAAGGGGACGAACCTAAGAAGGGGGCGAACCTAAGAAGGGGGCGAACCTAAGAAGGGGGCGAACCTAAGAAGGGGGCGAACCTAAGAAGGGGGCGAACCTAAGAAGGGGGCGAACCTAAGAAGGGGGCGAACCTAAGAAGGGGGCGAACCTAAGAAGGGGGCGAACCTGAGAAGGGGGCGAACCTGAGAAGGGGGCGAACCTGAGAAGGGGGCGAACCTAAGAAGGGGGCGAACCTAAGAAGGGGGCGAACCTAAGAAGGGGGCGAACCTAAGAAGGGGGCGAACCTAAGAAGGGGGCGAACCTGAGAAGGGGGCGAACCTGAGAAGGGGGCGAACCTAAGAAGGGGGCGAACCTGAGAAGGCGGCGAACCTGAGAAGGGGGCGAACCTAAGAAGGGGGCGAACCTAAGAAGGCGACGAACCTGAGAAGGGGGCGAACCTAAGAAGGGGGCGAACCTGAGAAGGGGGCGAACCTAAGAAGGGGGCGAACCTAAGAAGGGGGCGAACCTGAGAAGGCGGCGAACCTGAGAAGGGGGCGAACCTGAGAAGGGGGCGAACCTAAGAAGGGGACGAACCTGAGAAGAGGGCGAACCTAAGAAGGCGGCGAACCTGAGAAGGGGGCGAACCTAAGAAGGGGGCGAACCTGAGAAGGGGGCGAACCTAAGAAGGGGGCGAACCTGAGAAGGGGGCGAACCTAAGAAGGGGGCGAACCTAAGAAGGGGGCGAACCTGAGAAGGGGGCGAACCTAAGAAGGGGGCGAACCTAAGAAGGGGACGAACCTGAGAAGGCGGCGAACCTGAGAAGGGGGCGAACCTGAGAAGGGGGCGAACCTGAGAAGGGGGCGAACCTGAGAAGGGGGCGAACCTAAGAAGGGGGCGAACCTGAGAAGGGGGCGAACCTAAGAAGGGGGCGAACCTAAGAAGGGGGCGAACCTAAGAAGGGGACGAACCTAAGAAGGGGACGAACCTGAGAAGGGGGCGAACCTGAGAAGGGGGCGAACCCAAGAAGGGGGCGAACCCAAGAAGGGGGCGAACCTAAGAAGGCGGCGAACCTGAGAAGGGGACGAACCTGAGAAGGGGGCGAACCTGAGAAGGGGGCGAACCTGAGAAGGGGACGAACCTAAGAAGGGGACGAACCTGAGAAGGGGGCGAACCTGAGAAGGGGACGAACCTAAGAAGGGGACGAACCTGAGAAGGGGACGAACCTGAGAAGGGGGCGAACCCAAGAAGGGGGCGAACCTGAGAAGGGGGCGAACCTAAGAAGGAGGCGAACCTGAGAAGGGGACGAACCTGAGAAGGGGGCGAACCTGAGAAGGGGACGAACCTAAGAAGGGGACGAACCTGAGAAGGGGGCGAACCTGAGAAGGGGACGAACCTAAGAAGGGGACGAACCTGAGAAGGGGACGAACCTGAGAAGGGGGCGAACCCAAGAAGGGGGCGAACCTGAGAAGGGGGCGAACCTAAGAAGGAGGCGAACCTGAGAAGGGGACGAACCTGAGAAGGGGGCGAACCTGAGAAGGGGACGAACCTGAGAAGGGGGCGAACCTGAGAAGGGGACGAACCTGAGAAGGGGACGAACCTAAGAAGGGGGCGAACCTAAGAAGGGGACGAACCTGAGAAGGGGACGAACCTAAGAAGGGGGCGAACCTAAGAAGGGGGCGAACCTGAGAAGGGGGCGAACCTGAGAAGGGGGCGAACCTAAGAAGGGGGCGAACCTAAGAAGGGGACGAACCTGAGAAGGGGGCGAACCTGAGAAGGGGACGAACCTGAGAAGGGGACGAACCTGAGAAGGGGGCGAACCTGAGAAGGGGGCGAACCTAAGAAGGGGGCGAACCTAAGAAGGGGGCGAACCTAAGAAGGGGGCGAACCTGAGAAGGGGGCGAACCTGAGAAGGGGGCGAACCTGAGAAGGGGGCGAACCTAAGAAGGGGGCGAACCTGAGAAGGGGGCGAACCTAAGAAGGGGACGAACCTAAGAAGGGGGCGAACCTAAGAAGGGGGCGAACCTAAGAAGGGGACGAACCTGAGAAGGGGACGAACCCAAGAAGGGGGCGAACCTAAGAAGGGGGCGAACCTGAGAAGGAGGCGAACCTAAGAAGGGGGCGAACCTAAGAAGGGGACGAACCTAAGAAGGGGGCGAACCTAAGAAGGGGGCGAACCTAAGAAGGGGACGAACCTGAGAAGGGGGCGAACCTGAGAAGGGGACGAACCTGAGAAGGGGGCGAACCTAAGAAGGGGGCGAACCTAAGAAGGGGGCGAACCTGAGAAGGGGGTGAACCTGAGAAGGGGGTGAACCTGAAAAGTTCCCCCCCTAGCTAAGGGCACTCTTGAGATTTCTCCTAGCTAAGGGCACTCTTGAGATTTCTCCTAGCGAAGGGCACGCTTGAGATTTCTCCTAGCTAAGGGCACTCTTGAGATTTCTCCTAGCTAAGGGCACTCTTGAGATTTCTCCTAGCTAAGGGCACTCACCATGCGTCTTCCAGGTTGCCCATCTGATCCACCGCCTGCAGCGAGTACATGTTGTTCAAGAACACGTCGTGCAGCAACAGCTGCGTGCCGTCGCCCACCATCACCACGTTGCGCCTCGCCAGCAGGCGGCACAGCTTCTCGCGCGTGAACGGCACGTACGGCGGACAGCCTCGCCCCGTGGCCGGCTTCCAGTCAAAGAGTAACTCTGGTCGCACTTTCCAATCTGAAGGGCTTCCGCTGGTGCGCACTATCTCGTCTGCTACATCGCCCATCACCCCGCCCGCCCTGCATGCATTAGAATATTGGGTGAGGGGATGGGAGAGGTGGGGGGATGGGTGGGGTGTGGGGGGGGGGGGAGGGGAGGAGAGACGCTGAGAGGGGCTCCTTCCAGGCGGCACAGCTTCTCGCGCGTGAACGGTGGGCACCCGCGGCCCGTGGCCGGCTTCCAGTCGAACAGCAGCTCTGGGCGGACTTTCCAATCTGAAGGGCTGCCACTGGTGCGCACTATTTCGTCTGCTACATCGCCCATCACCCCGCCCGCTCTGGTTTGGGAATTGGGAGAGGGGGGGAGGGGGGGAGTTGCGGGATGGAGTGGGGTGGCAGTAAGAGGCACGGTGCAGCATGTCACTCACACGGTGCAGCATGTCACTCACACGGTGCAGCATGTCACTCACACGGTGCAGCATGTCACTCACACGGTGCAGCATGTCACTCACACGGTGCAGCATGTCACTCACACGGTGCAGCATGTCACTCACACGGTGCAGCATGTCACTCACACGGTGCAGCATGTCACTCACACGGTGCAGCGTGTCACTCACACGGTGCAGCATGTCACTCACACGGTGCAGCATGTCACTCACACGGTGCAGCATGTCACTCACACGGTGCAGCATGTCACTCACACGGTGCAGCATGTCACTCACACGGTGCAGCATGTCACTCACAGGTACTGCAGTTTGCCAGCCATCGGTTTACAGTCGACTCACAGAAAATTGAGAACCGACTGGAATAGTCTATAGAGCACTCACTCGGTCTCATGCAGCACGTCACACGTGCCATAGTTGGGAAGCTGCGGGTCGCTGTTGGGGTTGCGGTTCCACGGCAGCACTCGCATCTCCTCATTCGCCTTCCACCGCCCATCCTTCACCACACAGTCCAGCGCCCGATGCACCGCCTCCACTGCCGCCCTGCCATTTACCATGCTGCCGGGGATATGGTCTAGCATGGGCTCTGGCGTTGGACACAGGGAAACAGGGGAAAGCGAGGGAGGAGAGGGGAGGCCACGGAAGGGCAATGGGGAGATAAGGAAGGGGGATGGGGCCATGAAAGGGCATCTCCTCATTCGCCTTCCACCGCCCGTCCCTCACCACACACTCCAGCGCTCGATGCACCGCCTCCACTGCCGCCCTGCCCTTCACCATGCTGCCGGGAATGTGATCCATCATGGGCTCTGGCGGTATGTGATGGGGAATGAAGGGGGAGGGAGGGAAGACAGGGGAGGGATGGGCTAGTCCCTCACATCACAGTCCAGCGCTCGATGCACCGCCTCCACTGCCGCCCTGCCCCTCACCATGCTGCCGGGAATATGATCCACCATGGGCTCTGGCGTGCGGTGATTGGGAAAGAAAGGGGGGAGAGAGGGGAAGGGAGGGGAAGGGAGGGGAAGGGAGGGGAAGGGAGGGGAAGGGAGGGGAAGGGAGGACAAAGGAGGGCAAGGGAGGGCAAGACGGGTGTGAATGGTCACTTGCACGTTTGCCTTCCACTGGCCATCCCTCACCATGCTGCCGGGCGGGCGGGAGTCCGGTCCAACATGGGCTCTGGTGACAGGTGCCGCCCAGAAGGAGGGGAGAGACAGGTGAGGGGGGTGGGAGAAACGCAGGCAGGCATGAAAGCATATATCTTCCTTCCCCTTACAGCGCCCATCCTTCACACTACCCATGGATAGCGATGAGTGGCATCTATGTCTTCAGCGCCCATCCTTCACACTACCCATAAATAGTGATGAACTCGCCCACCCTTACAGGCAGTAACAGAGAGCATCTATGTCTGCTCACTCGCCCCCCCTTCCTGCCCACCTTCACTCTCTGCTGCTGCTGCTGCTGCTGCTGCTGCTGCTGCTGCTGCTGCTGCTGCTGCTGTTGCTGCTGTTGCTTCATCTGTGGTCTTCGTCTCATTCCCCTCTCCATCACCTCCGCCCTGCCCCTTCCCCCCACTGCCGGCATCACCACCACCGCCTCCCACCCCCTCACCCCCTCCACCAGACTCTTCCCCTCCCTCCCCCTCTTCGCTCCGCTCAAATGTCCCATCGCCCACCTCCGCTCCGCCCAGCTCCCCACTCCCCTTCTTGCCTTCTCCATCCCTCTCTCCCCTGCCCTCTCCCTCTCCTCCCTCCTGTCCGCCCTCCTCCTGCCTCTCAAACGTGCCGTCTCCCACCTGTGCCCCTCCCAGCTCCCCATCCCCTTCTGCACCCCCCTTCTGCGCCCCCTCCTCATCCTTCCCACCGCCCTCCTCTCCCTCACTCTCCTCCTCTTTTCTCTCAAACGTCCCTTCGTCCACCTTACCTCCACCCAAATCCCCTTCACCTCCCCCTTCCCCTTCGCCCTCACCCTCGCCCTCCTCATCCTTCCTCTCAAACGTCCCCTCATCCACCTTTGCCCCTCCCAGCTCATCCTCCCCTCCGCTCTCCCCTCTCCTCCCACTCTCCCTTTCACCCTCACCCTCACCTTCCCCCTCACCTTCCCCCTCGCCTTCCTCCTCCTTCCTCTCAAACGTCCCCTCATCCACCTTCTCTCCTCCCAATCCCCCATCCCCACCGCTCTTTCCTCCTCCCTCACTCTCCCCCTCCTCCTCACTCTCACCCTCCTCTTCCCCTCTCTCAAACGTCCCCTCATCCACCTTCTTTCCCCCCAAATCCTCGTCCCCTCCACTCTTTCCTCCTCCCTCACCTCCCTCCTCTTCTCCACCTTCCTCCCCTCCACCCTCCTCCTCCCCCCTCTCAAACGTCCCCTCATCCACCCTCTTCCCGGTCAACCCGCCCTCCCCCTCAGTCTCACCCCCCTCACTTCTCGCCTCACCTCCTTCCTCCCTCTCTCCGCCCTCCTTCAGTCCTCCCTCCTCCTCCTCTCCCTTGCCTCCTATCCTCTCCCCCTCACCTTTCCCACCCTCGCCCTCTTCACCCCTCTTCCCTCCACCCTCCGTCCCTCCACCTTCTCCTCCCTCCGCCATATCATCCCCTGAACGCTCCCCTTCTTTTGCCTCCTCAACCTCCCCTCCTCTCCCCTCCACACCCTCCTTCCCTTCACTCCCACTGCCTGCCCCGTCCCCTCTCTCACCACTGCTAGAACCACTCATGCTTGCACCACCACCACCACCACCACCACCACCATCACCAGCATCACCACCATCCGTAGCACCAGCAGCACCAGCACCACCACTCTCAGAGCTGCTCTCTCCTTTACCCCCTGCCACCAAACCCCCGTCCGTCCCCTTTGCACCCACACCAGTCTCCCCACGCCCCTCCCCACTCCCCTTCCCACTCGCTTCCCCACCCAACCCAGCCGGCGGGGCAGAGGCAGCAGCAGCAGCAGCATGGGAGTGGGCGGGGGTGGAGGGGCGGGACGGCAGGGGGGTGTGGCGGTTGAGGAGGAGGAGGTGGTTGAAGAGCAGGTGCACCCAGTGGTCCAGCGGGCCGGGCATGCAGTAGCGCTGGCAGTCCACCGACCCGTCCCTCCTCACATGGTGCCCGTCGGGCCGCAGCGAGGTGGCCGCGTCAACATCCATGTATACCACTCCGTACTCCTGTGAAAGGAGGGGAGGGGAGGGGACAGAAAGTGGGGGTACAGGATGGGAGTTAGGGGAAGAGGTGGCCGCGTCCACATCCATATACACCACTCCGTACTCCTGTGAAAGAGGGAGGAGGGGACGGACAGGGGAAGGGGGAAAAGCAGGGATGGACATGATGGTTCCCAGGAGGAGGGAAATGATGTGGGCACGTCCACGTCCACATGATGGCCACGTCCACGTCCATGCACAGCACTCGGTACTCCTGTGTGGGTGGCGGAGTGAGGGATGACATGGTAGGTGCTAGGAGGGAAGGGAAGAGCGGTGACGTCTCACCAACCTCACCTGCAGCAGCAGCAGCAGCCTTGCCTCACCTCCATCCCAGCCTCACCTCGAGCAATGGCTTGACGATTTCATTCATCTTGCGGTGGCGCGTGGAGGACGCGAGGGGGCGACTTTTGAGGCACCTCAAAGGCCATTAGTCCTAGCCCCACCTCCTGCATGCCACCTCACCTCCACCAATCCCACCCTCACCTCGAGCAGCGGCTTGACGATCTCGTTCATCTCGCGGTGGCGCGAGGAGGAGGCGAGGGGGCGACACTCAAGGCATCACCCATCAGCCCAAATCCAGCCTCACCTCGAGCAGCGGCTTCACGATCTCGTTCATCTCGCGGTGGCGCGACGAGGAGGCGAGGGGGCGGCGGCGGAGGGGCAGAGTGGCGTCGTCACAGTCATCGTGTGGTGCAGGGGAGTTGCGCCAGAGGATGAGCAGATTGGGGTGCCGCTGCCGCACCGCCTTGAGCGTGGCTCGCAGCTCCCTCAGTAGTGTGCGCTCTGGTTGGGGCACAGGGAACATGGAAGAGGGAAGAGGGAAGAGATAGATGGCGCTGGGGAGTTGCGCCAGAGGATGAGCAGGTTGGGATGCCGTTGCCGCACCGCCTTCAATGTGGCTCGTAACTCCCTTAGTAGGGTGCGCTCTGGTTGGGGCAGGGGGGGGAAAAGGGGGAGAAGGGGGAGAGAGGGGCAGTGCACATGCAGGGTGGGCGGCGCGGTCGTCGTGCGGCGCGGGCGAGTTGCGCCAGAGGATGAGCAGATTGGGTTGCTGCCGCCGCCTCACTGCCTTGAGCGTGGCTCGCAGCACCCTTAGAAGCATGCGCTCTGAAGGAAGGGGGGAGATGGAGGGGGGCATGGGAAGGGGCACACCCAGCATGACAGAGCAATGCAGCACATGCAATGTCCGGTCTCAGATCACTCACAGTGTTACCGACAGGCACTGCTGCTGCGGACTCACTGCTCTTGTATCGCGCGGTGCAGGAGAGCACCAGAATGCCAGTGCGTGCCAATGCGCAAGTCAAAGCACAAAGACCTAATAAGCACCATACAAGCGCCAACTCACTGCTCTTGTATCGGGCGGTGCGGGAGAGCACCAGGATGCCAGTGCGCCAGCGCCGCAGCTTCTTGACCCAGCGGTTGTTCACAGCAGACACTCGCCCCGTGTCGGGAGACAGGAACGGGTTGAGCAACACGCGCATGTTGAACCCTGCTGACCCCGCACTGCCCTCCTCCTCCTCCTCCGCCTCCCCCATCCCCCCTCTGCTCAACTCCCCTACCTCGCTCTCCTCCGGCCCTCCCCCGTACCGCAGCAGATGCCTGCCCACTCTCCCCTCCTCCTCTAGTTCCTCCTCCTCCTCTTCCTCCCTCGCCTCCCGCTGCTGCCATTGCCGCTGGGTGCTCATGCCCCCCTGCTTGCTTCTCCTGCTTGTGGTGCTGTGGGCGCCGGTGTAAGAGGAGGTGCGAGAGCGCGTGCGCGAGTGGGAGTGGGAGGAGGGGAGGTGGGAGGAGCGGGCGGAGGAAGAGGAGGAGGAGGGAGAGGAGGTGGACAGGCGCACGTCTGTGCAGAGAGGGTGGCCTGCCTCGTAGCATGCACCCTCTGTGGCATTGGCCCTGAGGGAAGGAGGGGGGGAAGGTGGAAATGAGAGGGGGGCAAACGGGGATAGCAGTCCTCAATCAGAAGGTTCAGTCAGAGGGGGAGGCCTGCCTCGTAGCATGCACCCTCTGTGGCATTGGGCCTGGGACGGAGGGAGGAAGAAGAGGGGACGGATGGGGATAGCGAGCACAATCACACTTGGTAGTGGCGAACACAAAAGGTCGGTCATTCCCGAGCAATCACCCACCACCCACCCCCTCCCTCCCCCCAACCCATCACCCATCCTCCCTCCCCCAGCAGCACCCACCAGGCGTCTCCAAGAGGCTCGGCGATGCGGCGGGTGTGGGCAGTGACAAGGTGGTTCAGCAGCGCATCGTGTAAATCCAGCGCCCCCGCATCTCCCACCACCACCACATTGCGCCCGCGCACAGCCCGGCAGAAGGCAGTGCGCTGGAAGGGCAGCAGAGGGCAGGAGGCGTCGCCCGACTGCCACTCGTACAGCGCTGCCCGCCGCACTCGCCACCGCGTTGCATCCCCCCGCCGCCTCGCCTTCTCTGCTGCTGCTCCGTAGACGCCGCCTTCCCTGTCTCGCGTGAGTGGGTGGGTGTGTGAGGGAGTTCGGATTGGGGGCAGGGAAATGAGTGCAGGGCGAGTGGGAAGCGAGAAGCAGGAGGGCAAGAGCGTGGGTGGGTGAACAAGAGAGAGGTGGGAATGTCAAAGAAAAGTCGAGAGCTGTGACGTGAGGATGGGAAGAAATAATGCAGGAGGAGGCAGGGAGGAAGATCAGAGAGACATTGCATATGTGAGGGGGGGGAAGGTGGAGCAAACAACCCACTCCCACAGCCGCCCCACTCACTCACTGCCCCACAGCCGCCCCACTCACGCCCCACAGCCGCCCCACTCACTCACTGCCCCACAGCCACCCCACTCACTCACTGCCCCACAGCCACCCCACTCACTCACTGCCCCACAGCCACCCCACTCACTCACTGCCCCACAGCCACCCCACTCACTCACTGCCCCACAGCCACCCCACTCATTCTTTGCCCCACAGCCGCCCCTGCCCCACTCACTCACTCTTTGGCCCACAGCTGGTCGCAGGAGCGGTGGTTGGGGTGGCGGGACGAGTGGTGGTGGCGCGAGGCTGTCAGGTCCCACGGCAGCCACCTGGGAGTGCTGTTGAGCGCCCATCGCCCGCCCTCCCTGCCTGCCAGACACGCCAGCTGCCCCACTCAATCTCTTTGCCCCCCAGCCCCACTCACTCTTTGGCCCAAAGTTGGTCGCAGGAGCGGTGGTTGGGGTGGCGAGACGAGTGGTGGTGGCGCGAGGCTGTTAGGTCCCACGGCAGCCAGCGGGGAGTGCTGTTGAGCGCCCACCGCCCGCCCTCCCTGCCCGCCAGGCACGCCAGCTGCCGCCGCACCCGCCCCACCTGCTCCTCCCCCCGCACGCCCGTGCCCGGGATGCGCCTTGCCAGCACACTGCTGCGCCCCCGCATGCCCCCCCCTCCTCGGGGGGAAGTGTTGCTGTCGTTGTCATCCTCGTCGGTGTCATCTGGGCCGTCCGTTTCCATCTGGGCCTCCTCCTCCCGCTCCTCCTCCTCCTCCTCCCTCGCCTCCGCGTCCACCCCATCCTCCTCTGCTTCCTCTGCGAGCCCACGGGGCGATGGACACATAAGGGAGAGCGGGAGAGGAGGGGGGGGGGGGGGTGAAGGGGGGAAAAGAGGAAGACGAGGGAGGAAAGGGAGGAGCAGGGCGCATGGGGGAAAAAGAGAGAATGAAGTGATTAGTCACTGAAGCGAGACTGGTGACGAGGAATGCGAGAAGAAGAAAGAGGTGCAGGCAGAAGGGAAGTGCAATGGGAGCAGAGCAGTGCAGTGCAGAGCAGAGAGGAGACGGCGTTCGCCCATAACCAACTCACCATCGTCCCTCCCCTCCTCCTCATAATCCTCCTCCCTCCTCTTCCTCTTCTTCTTCCCCCACCCGCCCCCCTCCCCCGCCCGCTTCCCCTCCTTCTTCCGCCGACTCATCTTCCCCCCTGTCCCCCTCAACTCCACCCCATCCTCCTCCTCCCCAGGCTCATACCGCCTCCGCGTCAGCCCCCCCACCTTCCCCCTCCCCCCGGCCTTCCCCCCGCCGCCTTCCCCCACAGTAGCAGCGGCCATTTCAGCCTCATTAGCAGCGAGCCTAGCCTCGCCTGCAATGGTATCAGCCTCTGTGATCAGCTGCTCGTGCACCTCATCCCAATCATCCGGACCCCCCCCATACCTCGGTTTCTTCTTCCCCTTCCCCTTCCCCTTCCCTTTCCCCTTGCCTTTCCCTTTCCCCTTCCGCGCTCCTGTCTCTGTGTCATACGCCCCACCACCCTCCCTCTCGCCGTCCTCCTCCTCCCCATGCGTCAACCCTGAACCTCTGCCTTCCGACCCCCTTTCGTCTGTGGGGAAATCAGGGTCAGGAATCGGGCGGGTTTTGGAGAATCCGGGTACATCTGGTGCAGGCGGTGTCTGACCCGGCTGTTTCTCATCCCCTCCAGCTCCCCACTCGCCCCATTTCTGCTGCCCCGCGCCTCCCTCCCCCCCTTCCCCCATCCACTCCCCCGCTTTCGCTCCGCCGCTGTTCCACTCCCCTTCCGCCGTTAGCCCCTCTCCGCCTTCCCCTTGCGCGCCTCCCGCCCCTTGCGCGCCCTTGATGCGGGATACCAGGGAGGTTGCATGGCTGGCGGGGTTTGGGAAGAGAGATGGGGGAGGGGAAACGGGGAAGGGGGATTAGTGAGCACATTTCGAAAGGGACGAGAGCGGAAATGGGAGCGGGACAGGACTAACAGAGCGACATGATGGGCATGAGGGGCATGCGACACATGCGCGACTCATCCCTGCGTCGCATGCATCTCGCCGCCACCCTCCCCCATCCGTCGCACGCACCTGAACGGGTTCACACCGAGCAGCCACAGCAGCAGCGCCGCGCCGACCACCGTTACAAGCACAACCGTCGCGCACGAGCAGCACCGCAGCACACCGCCAGCGACCGGCGCGCGCGGGGACTTGCGCGCGCGCTGCTGCTGGTAGCGCGAGCGGAAGGTGGGCGAGGGGTCTTCGTGCTGCACGCTCTCGTACCCCCCTCCGCGCCGCTGCCTCCCCCACGGCCACATGGGATCGCGTGCGCGCTGCGAGGAGCGAACCGGCGAAAAGACACGAGTTTGATTTCCGAGATGTCAAAGAAGTTATATTTGAGACGACGCCGGACTTTACGAATCGGTGAGCAGACGCGAGATCAACCTGACGAGAGCAGGCAGCGCGCTGTTACGCCTCGAGAAGCACGCGGAACTTTAAGGCGCCTCGAGAAGCGCGCGGAATGCCGCTGTCGATTAGAGCACGATTTAGTCGGATGGGAAAGGCGGCACCAGGAGAGCAGCGTGTCGAGAACTCGCAAACGGAACGAGCCGCGCGAAATCGGAATCGACCGCTGATCGGTCTAAGAGCGAGTTTGTAAGAAAGTGCCAGCGCCTAAGCGACACACGCGATGCTGCCGACATCATCGTCCTCCTCGCGCAAGGCGCGGGGAATCGCACATTGGAAACGAAGCGCCGAGCAGCCCAAGGCTTCTCGTTTCAGGCGCAACGTCGCTCTCATGGGAGTGATATTTCTGTGGCCCAGATTACAGTATTCCCTTGGGATTGACTGCCATGGCAGATGCCCTGGTGATAACAGAGCCACGGGAAATTGGCCATGGCAAGATCGAAGTTGGTTGGTGGGTGGTTGCTGTGGCGAAGTGGCGAAATTACCGATTTCGATCTCGAAAGTGTCGTGCGGGTTTGGTGCATTTTGCGAGGGATCCAAAACCAGGACTTGCCAAAACCGCTCTGTTACAAGCATCGAACCGTTACAAATGACACGTGACGACGACATCGTGGTTACACGGACGGAAAGGGTGCCGAACACCCACGAATGAAAATGCCAAGAGGAGGAAGCCAGAAAAATGAAATTACCCCATTGTATTTGTGGCAGCACTATGATAAGCTGCAGCCATGGTGTCTCTATCACCCGTCCACTACGCAATTCGTCAACCCTGCCGCCTCTTGCGGCACGAATCGCGGACTATTGTCTCTAACGCGCCACGTCAGCACAGCAACTTGGGTCTCTCGCTGAGTCCGCTCACCTCAATCGGCCCGTCTCCTTCCTTCCCACATGAATACTCCCGCATTTCCTCTCGCCGTGACTCTCGCGTCGTCTCTTCAAACGAATCACCGCCGCGAATTGCGTCTCAACGCTCGCCTAAAAATCGAGACTCGTCGTTGCGCGTGCGCGCAGCAGCGGAGCGTGGCGCGAAGACAGCACAGCAGTCCGACTCGGCTGCTAGGGAGAGCGTCGATGTGCTTATAGCGGGCGCTGGCGTCGCGGGACTAGCCACGGCTCTCGCTTTACACCGGTACAGTCACACCCCTCTTCTCTCTTCCGCAAACCCACCTCCATCCCTCCCTTCTCAGCATTCTGCGTGATTCCTCCCCAACAGCACGGCAAGCGCGCGTGGCAGTGCTCTAGCGCGCGGCTCCCCGCATCTGCGCCACCATCTCTTTCCCCGATCTTTCCTCATTGCCCATTCTCTCCTCTCGTTTCCCCCTCCCGCTTCCCCCTTTCACCCTCCCCGCCCGGCCCCACCCTTCCCTCGCGCGCGCCAGCGTGGGCATTGACGTGGCAGTGGTGGAGCGGGCGCCGGGTCTCGGCCAATCAGGAACGGCGCTGAGTCTGTGGGGCAACGCTTGGCGCGCTTTGGACGCGCTGGGGGTGGCGGCGCTGCTGCGGACAGACTACGTGCGGCTGGAAGGGTGAGAGGGCGCGGGTGAGCTAGAGGGGTGAGATGCGCGCGGGAGAGAGAGGGCGAGGAGCTGGGCGGAAGGGCAGCGCGGGGTGGAAGAGGAGAGGGGAGGGAGAGGAGGGGGGTTGGAGAGGTGGATAATTGAAAGTCATTTTACCATGCAGCCAATGCCATGCATCCATCAGTGGGCATCCAGTGAAACGAACAGTCAGTGACCGCACTCTATGTATCGTCCCTCTCCATGTGCCACAGTGCACTTTGCGCTGCACTGCTTGTGTGCATGAACTCATGATACGATACAACAGGCATTCTTTCTATGCTCTGCCCATACCAGTAGTCGTCTGTTCCCGGTCGTTTCCCATGCATCGGCCATGCGTCCCTCTCGGTCTCACATATTTCTTGATACCGCTCCCCACGTCACTGCCATCCCCACCAGCGTTGACATTGCAGCAGCGGACGGCACGGCGCTGCGCTCCTTTGACTTCGCTGACTGCAATGTGGGGTGGGTGCACTTCCCCTTGCTCTCAAGAGGCGCCTCAAAGTCCAATGTGTTTCATAAGTCGTTTGAGCAGACCATAGTGCGCCCCTTGAGGCGCCGGCAGTTTTTTTAGGTATCTCAAAAATGTTGGGTGCGCTTCCCCTTGCTCTGCTCATACCATGCGCCGCTAATGCACCATGCTCTCTGCGCATACACTGTGTTCTCATGCCCTCCCTTCTCTCTCCTCTGCTTCCTACCTACTGCCTGATATTCGGAAATTGAAAACCGTGGCTACTGTGTGCCGCCTCCTGCCCCCCTCTCTCTCACAATCTGCCCTTCTTCCATCTCTTGTCGCCCCTGAGATGGATCATCTGGAGTGGATGATGTCATCACATGGCATGAGGGTGGCATTGACATGGCATGGATGGCATGGCATGGATGGCATATGACGCATTGACGTGGAGGCATGCAGACCCGATCACGAGGTGAGGGGGGTCACCCGCGCGCACCTGCTCTCCTGCATGGCCTCCCAACTGCCACCTGGCACCATCCGATTCGCCACCACAATTTCCCACATCCCAGAACCCACCGCCACCGCCACTGCCTCCCCTATGGCTGTGACTCTATCCAACGGTGCCACTATCGAAGCCAAGACTCTCATAGGGTGTGACGGGAATGCATCAGCTGTTGCTTCTTGGCTCGGGCTGCCGCCCACCAACTACGCCGGATACCGGGCGGCACGCGGGGTGGCGGAACTAGATCCAGCAGATTCTGCCGTCGCTGCCGGCGATGGGGGTGATGCTGAGGGTGGTGACGTGGGAGAGAGAGTGGAGGGGAGAGGGAGAGTGGGAATGGTGTGGGGGAGGGGGGTGCGAGTGGGCATGTACCCTCTCACGCCCACACGAGTCTACTGGTTCACCTGCTACAATGCTCCGCCCTCCCCTTTGCCGCCCAGAGGTAAATCAAGGACTTGCTTCGTCTGCTCCCTGCCCTGTGCCTCGCCAGTTGGCATGCCATACGCCCTGTGCCCGCTCCAAACTGGCCCTTGTGGCATCCCTTTCAGCGTTGTATCTCTCATGCCCATCGCCCTTCTCTCTACTCCTCTCTTGACATCAACCATTCTCCCTCTCATTCCCCTCTTCACCCCGGGCCCCATCCGCTTCCCCTTCCCCCCACCCCATTCGCACTTCCCCATTCGCACTTCCCCATTCGCACTTCCCCATTCGCGCTCCCCATTGGCACTTCCCCCATCAGGATCAGCAGCAGCCAAGGAGGAGGCTCTCTCCTACGTGCAAGGCTGGCAGGGCGGCATCGAGCGTCTTATTCACGCCACGCCGGCCACCAGCATCGTAGTCGGCACCATCACAGACCGCTGGACGATGCCGCCCCCTCTGGGCACATGGGGACGAGGCGCCGTCACTCTGGCCGGCGATGCCGCCCACCCCATGACTCCGAACCTCGGCCAAGGCGCATGCACAGCCTTGGAAGATGCAGTCATCTTGGCTCGGTGCCTTTGGGAGGCTTCCGAGCCAGATGAGAGGCACGGGAAAGGGAGCGGTGGAGTGGAGGAAGGGGAGGACGGGGCGAGTGTGCGGAGGAGGAGGGTGGAGAGTGAGAAGGTGTGTGGAGCATTGAGGGAGTATGAGAGGTTGAGAGGGAGGAGGGTGGCACAGCTGACAGTGCGATCGTTTGGCATAGGGTGGTTGCTGCAGTTACCCCAGGAGGCGGTGTGCTTTGCGCGGGATAAAGTGGTGCTGCCGCATCTCTTCTCGCCCTCGCATTTCCTCGACCATGCGCTCTTCGATTGCGGCAAGCTGCCAGACAGCGATGCCTCCTAATATGTTACTGACATGGGCTATTAATGAAATTGTGTTTAGCTAGTCAGTTATATGTGGCTCTTACAGGAGCGTCTCACTGACGCGTACAAAGCACCATCTTGTGTCATGACTCACACCTCACGGTCACCGCCAATCCCAGCCTCTACCCTCGTGCTCCATCCTCCACTCACCGCTCTCCGATCCATGCCATGCCATCACGCATCTCTCACGAGTCTCCCCAAGTCCGTAGAAGTCCGTACACAGTGTAACATACCACCATCACTCGAATCACCCGTCAATCACGGATCTACTATTGTGTATGCCTGTTGCCCTGCCAATTGCAACGCCTGTAGATACCGTATTCACAACTCGTTTTTACGACTCTTCTGTACAGAACTGACTACTGACACCTGTGTAGTGCCTGCACCGCCGTGACGGCGTGCGTCTGACTGACCGACTAACATATTCCTTAACGCCAATTACCGCGATTCGAAGATCTCGAGGCTCTGTTGGTGGTAATGATACCGCAGTACACCGCTCTGGTCCCCTGAGTTTCGGCGCAAACCCAGACCAATACCTCCAGAACTCGATACCGCGACCGGTTCTAGAGAAAGGAGCGGCGAGAAGAAAAATGTCCCATCCCATGGGCCGTCTACGGCCCTCCTGCGCGCCAAGCCATGCGATCCACTGTCGCGGTCGCTAATCCTGTTCCAAGCTCGCACCTTCGCCCACTGCGCCGCCTATCACCTTAGTAGGGCTGCGATAAGTCTCTAGAATCAGGCCACGTCGATCAGCCACAGCGTTATTTATTACTCTAGTAGGCCGCGGACGCCAGCATCTCCCTAGTAGCGCCTTGCTGACGTGAGCCCCGATAGCTCCCTGACCCTTCAGCACCACCTGACCCTTCAGCACCACCTGACAACCCTTCGTAATACACTCCATGATTCCTTTTCTCTAATACTCATCCACATTATCAACTCGTTTTATTATTTATATTCATTTAATAAATACCCACTCCGCGCGCGCATGGCGCTGCCCCTGGGCAAGCTGGGGGACCTGGTGCTGAAGACGCTCAGCAAGCCGCTCGCCAAGGCCATCAAGCGCCGCGCCGCCAGCCACCCCAAGTTCCGCGCCTCCATCGCCAACTGGGCCCAGGTGCGTGCGCGCGCAGGGGGGCCCGCGGGCAGGGCGGCACGCATAGGGGGCGCGCACAACTTTGGCGCATAGAGAGCGCGGTTCCGCGCATGGGATGCGCGCATTGCTACCCCAAGTTCCGCGCCTCCATCGCCAATTGGGCGCAGGTGCGTGCGCGCGCAGGGGCTCCGCCTGCAGGGTGGACGCATAGGGTGCGCACACAGCCTCCGCGCGTAGAGAGCGTGGTTCCGCACATAGGGTGCGCGCATTGCTACCCCAAGTTCTGCGCGTCCATCGCCAACAGGCGCAAGAGCGTGCGCGCAGGGGCTCTCGGATGGGCGCAGGTGGGTGCGCGCAGGGCCGCCACCCCGCATTGCGCGCGCCTCGCATTCTCGTCCCCAACACCGCCTTTTGCTTCCCGCGGTCCCTCCTGTCGCCACTCCTCCAGCCATCCCCTCCCTCTTCCCCCCCCTCCCCCCCATTCCCCCTCTTCCCCCTCTCCCCCCACTCTCTCCCCCACCAATGGCCCCCAGGGCTACCACCGGTTCACGGTGCGGCTGCAGCGGCGGCTGTACGGGCAGAGCAGGCTTGAGCGCTTGCCCTTCCCAACCGTCCCTCCCCGCTTCCCCGCACCCTTTCCCCTTTCTCCTCTTCTTCCCCCCCCCCAGGGCTACCACCGGTTCACGGTGCAGCTGCAGAGGCGGCTGTACGGGCAGGCCCCCTTGGGGCACATCAAGCGGCTGAACGAGGAGAAGGCCGTTAGCACGGCCAGCGAGGTGGTGGGGGAGCTGATTGTGTTCGCCGTGAGTGGGTTGGTGGGGGGTTGGGTGGAAGCGATAGGCTTGGTGGGGGTGTGGGAGGGGAAGGGGGAAGGGGGTTGTGAGTGGGTAGAGGGGCTTGCTGACTGGGTTGAACGAGGAGAAGGCCGTTAGCACGGCCAGCGAGGTGGTGGGGGAGCTGATTGTGTTCGCTGTGAGAAAGGGGGTGTGGGGCGAGAGGATGCTGCATGGGTTACGTGGAAGGGTGGGGGTACTGTGAGTGGGTGGGTTGAGCGGGTTGTTTTTGCCGTCAGTGGACTCATCATTCCTTTGTTCCCCCCCTGCATGTTCATGCATGCACACGGATGTGCACGTGCTGGCATGCTCGCTCTCGCTCGTGCACGGGTGGATGCAGGTGGCGGGGGGAGTGGTGTTTATCGAGGCGGCTAGGAGCGCCTTATTCCTCTGCATGCACGTGTGCCTTCTCCCCCTGCACGTTTCATTCATGCACACGGACATGCACATTCGGGCATGTATGCACACATGTGCATGCGTGGGTGCAGGTGGCGGGGGGCGTGGTGTTCATCGAGGCAGCTAGGAGCGCGAGGTCGAATGCTCGCAAGGAGGCCAAGCTGAAGCAGGAGCGCGAGGTGAGTTGAGAGGAGTGGAAAGGAGTGGGGAGGAGTGGAGAACATCTGAGTCGAAGCACATGCTGGCAGGCGCGCGAGATGAGGCACGAGGAGAAGGTGAGGCAGGAGCGGGGGTTGAGGCAGGGAGAGAGGCACGGGACGGGGAAGAGACAGGGATGAGCGGTAGGGAGGGAGGGAGAGGTGTGATTGTTTCGCTGGTTGATGGCAGCAGGTTGAGTTGTTGTGACTCTCATGGACCGATTGTTGCTCTCTGCTTCATGGTGATCCGCGCCTCTCACCTTCTCCCTCGCCCTCTCTCTCACTCTCTCTCGTTCGTGTGCACACGCACACCCACATTCTCACCCACCCTCCCACATCCGCATACCTGCACCGCCGCACCACCCCCACTGGCATGTGCACGGCAGGCGCTGCACGAGAGGGACAGGCAGCTGGGGGAGGCGAGGCGGCTGAGGGAGCGCGTGGAGCAGCTTGAGACCAACGGTTGCACTCTGGTTCATGGTGCTCTGCGCCTCTCACCCTCTCCCTTGCCCCTCTCTTTCTCCCACGTGCACCCCCACTGGCACCCCCACTGGCACACACACACACTGGCACACACACACACTGGCACACACACTGGCACACACACACACTGGCACACACACTGGCACACACACACACTGGCACACACACTGGCACACACACACACTGGCACACACACTGGCACACACACACACTGGCACACACACTGGCACACACACACACTGGCACACACACTGGCACACACACACACTGGCATGTGCGTGGCAGGCGCTGCACGAGAGGGACAGGCAGCTGGAGGAGGAGGCAAGGCGGCTGAGGGAGCGAGTGGAGCAGCTTGAAGAGGCCTTGGCTGCTGACGTCTGGCTGCCACGTGTCCTCACCGGATTGGCCACTGGATCCACTTCTGCTTCCTCCTCGTCCTCCGCTTCTGATTCCTCCTCAGGTTCCTCTCTCCCCTCTCCTCCTGCAGCTGCGGGGGGGACGACAGAAGGGGAAGCAGAGGGCAGGGAAGGGGGGAGCAGGGAAGGGGGCGAGAGAGAGGGGTATGGGGTGGAGGTGGAGCAGGGAGAGGGATCGGCGGCAGGGAGCAGCAGCAGGGAGGGCAGTGACGGGCCGGGAGAGAGACGGGAGAAGGGCGGGTGGGCAGGTGTGGGAGGGCGAGTGAGAAGATGGATGGGTGGATGGGTGGGTGGGTGGGTGGGTGGGGTGGCGGTTCTAAGCATGTGCCGGGAGCAGCAGCAGGGGATGGGGTGGTGCGGATCAACGACATGGAAGGGGGGGAGGAGGGTGGAGTGGATTTGAAGATGAGTGCAAGCAGATGATGATAGCTGCAGGCATGCAAGGCATGAGTGCAGGTACACATGGCATTAGTGCAGGCACACATGGCGAGACTGCCGGCCCAAGTGACAAAGATTCCATTGCATGTCTCACTTGTGTTACACGGTTACGATGCGTTTTGCGCCAAGCTTTATGACCACTTGTTGCAACACAATGAATCGCCCAGCAGGGGCTATGGGTTATTCCATCTATCGCTGTGGTACATTATTTATTCATTAGTGTACAGTGGACACCCGCAACGTGTATACCGTATATACATTCACAGTGCCAGTCACCACTTGTTGCCATAACACCAGCATTCCCTGATGCAGCCGAGCCCTGTCCGCTTCTCTTGTCAAGTCATACACTGGACCATCAGAACCACCCTACATCCCATTGCAATGCATCATAGAACTGATGGGGTGGGAACTGATGGGGTGGGAACTGATGGGTTGGGAACTGATGGGTTGGGAACTGATGGGGTGGGAACTGATGGGGTGGGAACTGATGGGGTGGGAACTGATGGGGTGGGAACTGATGGGGTGGGAACTGATGGGGTGGGAACTAATGGGGTGGGAACTGATGGGGTGGGAACTGATGGGGTGGGAACTGATGGGGTGGGAACTGATGGGGTGGGAACTGATGGGGTGGGAACTGATGGGTTGGGAACTGATGGGGTGGGAACTGATGGGGTGGGAACTGATGGGTTGGGAACTGATGGGGTGGGAACTTTTGGGGTGGGAACTGATGGGGTGGAAACTGATGGGTTGGGAACTAATGGGTTGGGAACTGATGGGTTGGGAACTGATGGGGTGGAAACTGATGGGGTGGGAACTGATGGGGTGGGAACTGATGGGATGGGAACTGATGGGGTGGGAACTGATGGGGTGGGAACTGATGGGGTGGGAACTGATGGGTTGGGAAATGATGGGGTGGGAACTGATGGGGTGGGAACTGATGGGTTGGGAACTGATGGGGTGGGAACTTTTGGGGTGGGAACTGATGGGGTGGGAACTGATGGGTTGGGAACTGATGGGTTGGGAATTGATGGGTTGGGAACTGATGGGGTGTGAGCTGATGGGGTGGGAACTGATGGGGTGGGTACTGATGGGGTGGTAACTGATGGGTTGGGAACTGATGGGTTAGGGTTGGGTTTCCTTGTCGTTCCCTTGGGTTGGGTTCCCTTGGGTTGGGTTCCCTTGGGTTCCTTCCTCGGGGTTCCCTGGGGTTCCCTTGGGTTGGGGTTCCCTTGGGTTCCTTCCTCGGGGTTCCCTGGGGTTCCCTTGGGTTCCGTTAAGTTCCCGGACAAGATTTAGGGATGCCGATATTTTAGGGCAAATTTGGGGCGTGGTTTTTATCAGGAAGCAAAGGGTGTTTTGGGAACCCAAGCTGGCAACCCCATGTGTCAAAGTATGCACTTTTAGTGCTGTAGTCTATATTGGGGTACACTATAGAGGGGACAACCCTTTTAGGGTTTACTACTTGTATCCCCATCCTACTCAATGCACACATTCTTGTTTCCATATTCTAACATGGCATTAGAGTAGGTACGTTCCTTAGGGCCCACCGAACGTTCCGCCCTGCCCGGACTTGAAACCTTTTTTTCCTGCCCTGCTGCTTAGCGCCTGCGCGCGCCTTACTGCCCTGCCCGCGCGCGCCCAGCTGCCATGCTACTGAGCGCCCTGCTGCCCTGCCTGAGTGCCGCCCTGCCCGCGCACGCTCTGTCTGCAGCTGCGCTGCCCTTCCTGCCCGCGCGCTCTGCACGCGCACCCTACTGCCCACATCGTTAGCGCGCCCCGCTGCCCAGCGCGCCACCGCGCCCCGCTGCCCGACGCGCCAGTGTGCCCCGCTGCCCGACGCGCCAGCGCGCCCCGCTGCCCAGCGCGCCAGCGCGCCCCGCTGCCCAGCGCGCCAGCGCGCCCTGCTGCCCAGCGCACAGCGCGCCCTGCTGCCCAAAAAAAAAAAAAAAAAAAAAAAAAAAAAAAAAAAAAAAAAAAACCCTAGGTGCTGCTGCCCTAGGAGCTACTGCCTGCTAATGCCCTAGGTGCAGCCGCCTGCTACTTCTGCCCTAGGTGCTACCGCCTGTTGCTGCCGCCCTAGGTGCTGATGCCACCCGAGTGCGCTGCCCCGCGCTGCCCTACCCCGCGCTAGTGCCGCCTTGCCCCGAGTGCTGCTACGCTGCTACTGCCGCCTGTGCTACTGCTGCTACTAGCTGCCACTGCCTGCCATGGCCACAACCACTGTCATACGTCAGCGGCAGCCGAGTGTGCAGGAGTCTCTCTCGCCGCAGCAGCTTCGCGAGTGGGCTATCTGGTGGGGCAGCCCCGGTGGCGGAGCTAGCCATGCTAGGGCTCGAGGTGCTAGTGCTGACGGTCCGCGTACTCGTCGGCGGGAGCCGCTCTCGTCGCATCAGCTTCGCAAGAGGGCTGTCCAATGGGGCAGCCCCAGTGGCGGAGCCTGGTGTGCTATTACTGGAGGTCAGGGTTTAGGGTGATTCTACTCTTGTTGGTAGTGCCGCTGGTAGACGCGGAGGTTCTGGGGGTGGACAGCAGCGGCAGCAGCGTCCGCCGGAGACTCTCTCCCCGCAGCAGCTTCGTGAGTGGGCTGACCGGTGGGGCAGCCCCGGCGGCGGAGCTTGGGGTAGTAGTGCTGGGGGTGGAAAGGGACCTGGTGGCATAGAGGCTGCTAGTCTTGGTTCTTTTAACTCAGCTAGCACAGGTGCAGAGCCTGAGGAGGCCTTGCACACTTTTACTCTCGACTCAGGAGCGTCTCGTTGCTTCTTCTGCGACAGCACCACAGTCACACTGGCCGACCCCTCCGGGGGCCCGGTAGTCGCGCGTGGCGCCACTGTTCTCCCTTGTCCGGCGGCTCCTTCGAGCCTCCTCATAGGTCTCCACCTCCCCTTGTTCGCTAAGAACTTGGTGGCTACCTCTGTCCTCCAGGACCAGTGGGTCACTGTCAACCCAGCCTGGAGGCGAGCTAGTGGCGATCTGTACGGACTCGCACACTGGTGAGCACCTCGCCACGTTCACTCGGAGACCTGGGTCTCGCCTGTACATACTGACCACTGAGTCTGCACTGGTAGCTGAATCAGGTTAGGTAGCTGCGTCGGTTGAGGTCGCTGCGTCTTGCTCGTGTCGTCTCCTCACGCACCAGACTCTCCTCTGGCACCGCCGTCTTGGCCACCCCTCCTTGCCACGCCTTCATGGCATGCACTCCCGTCTCCTTGTCTGTGGGCTTCCCAGGTCCCTGCCCCCGCTCCCGAGGTCGCTTGCGCCGCCGTGCCTTCCCTGCGTTGAGGGGCGGCAGCGCGCCACTCCTCACTCCTCCTCGTTTCCTCCGACCACAGCTCCTCTTCAGACCCTCCACATGGACGTGTGGGGTCCAGCCCGAGTCCCTGGACAGGGCGGAGAGCGCTAGTTCTTGCTGGTTGTAGATGACTATACGCGCTACACCACGGTCTTCCCCTTGCAAAGCAAGGCAGAGGTCCGCAGTGTTCTGATCCGCTGGATCCGTGCTGTCCGTCGCCAGCTCAGTGCTCAGTTTCAGCAGGACCTCCCGGTCCTGCCACTGCACTCTGACCGAGGTGGTGAGTTTTCCTCCGGCCTCCTCGAGGACTTCTGTGGTGCTGAGGGCATCCGCCAGACGTTCACACTTCCGGCCTCTTCACAACAAAATGGGATTGCAAAGCGCCGCATTGGCTTGGTAATGGAGGTTGCTCGCACCTCTATCGTCCATGCGGCTGCTCCCCATTTTTTGTGGTCGTTTGCGGTCCGATACGCTGCTCACCAACTCAACCTCTGGCCCCTTGTCTCCCACCCGGAGACCTCTCCCACTCTGTGGTGGACGGGCGAGGTTGGTGATGCGTCGCCGTTTCGAGTCTGGGGTGCCCTTTTGCTTGTTCGCGACCCCCCCGCGGGGAAGCACTCTCCCCGCACTCTTGCTGCGTCTTCCTTGGCTTCCCTACCGACGCCCCGGGCTGGCAGTTTTACCACCCGGGTTCACGTTGTGCTCTCTCCTCCCAGGACGTCACCTTTGACGAGTATGTCTGCTTCTACCGTCTCCACCCCCACCGCAGTTCCCCCGTGCCCCTCCCGCCTCTCGCACTGGTCTCCGACCCCCCCCCCCCCCCGGTAGCCCCACTCCCCCCGCAGGGTCCTGCTCCCTCAGGTGTGTCTCAGGTTGACCCGTCCCCCTTGGTTGAGCCAGTCGAGGTCTCCTCTGACACCTCTGGCCCAGCTGAGGGGGGTGACCCGACTCCTGCTGCCACCGTGACCCCTCGCCGCTTTGCGCGCTTGGCGGTCCTTCCTGGGTTTCCGCCTCGACCGTCTTCACCGCCGCTACAGCCTATCGCTGTGGACGCTGGTGCTGTAGGAGGTGGTACCACTGGGGGTGCTGGTTCTGGGGGTGCTGAGTGTCCTCTGGGTACAGGAGGTACTGGAGGTACTGGTGCTGGTGGTCCTGGTACGAGTCGGCAGGAGGCTCTCTCGCCGGAGTGGCTTCGCGAGTGGGCTGTCCAGTGGGGCAGCCCTGGTGGTGGAGCTAGCCGTCTTCGAGCGGGAGGTGCTGGGACAGCTGGAGCTGGAGGTGCTGGCACTGTTGGAGCTGGAGGTTCTGCTACTGGTGGTACCAGGGTTGCTAGTGCTGGTGGCACTGGTGCACGTCGGCAGGAGACTCTCTCGCCAGAGCGGCTTCGCGACTGGGCTGTCCAGTGGGGCAGCCCTGGTGGTGGAGCTAGCCGTGCTCGTACTACTAGAGCTGGAGGTGCTGGGACTCTTGGTGCTGCTGGAGGTACTGGAGGTGCTAATGCTGTGGGTGCTGGTGCGGGTAGTCCTGGCTCACGTCGCCAGGAATCTCTCTCGCCGGAGCAGCTTCGCGAGTGGGCTGTCCGTTGGGGCAGTCCTGGTGGTGGCGCCGGACGTGCTGGAGCTGCAGCTTTTGGAGGTACTGGCTCTGGTGTTCTTGGTACTGGAGACACAGGTACTGCTAGAGGTACTGGAGGTGCAGGTGCTGCTGCAGGTTCTGGAGGTGCTAGCATTGGAGGTGCTAGTGCTGGTGTTCCTGATACTGGAGACACAGGTGCTGCTGGAGGTACTGGAGGCGCAAGTGCTGCTGGAGGTATTGGCCCTGGAGGTGCTAGTATTGGTGTTCCTGGATTTGGCCATCCCGGAGGTACTGGTACTGGAGGCGGTGCTGACACTGGAGGTACTACTGGAGGTACTGGAGTTAGTGGTGCTAGTCAGCAGGAGTCGCTCTCGCCGCTGCAGCTTCGCGAGTGGGCTGTCCGTTGGGGCAGTCCCGGTGGTGGAGCTGGTGGTACTGGCTCTGGGGGTACTGTTGCTACTAGAGCTGGAGGTTCTGGGGGTGCAACTACTCAGCCGAAGCCGTCTGCGCTTCGTCACCTTCTCAGTCTCCTGCCTGTTGCTACTGAGTTCCCGGTTGCTGGTACTACTCCTCCGTTACTGTTCCCACCGACTGGCCAGTCTCAGCCACAGCTCCTGCCTGGCTCCCCACTGCCTGCTCCTGCTCCTCACACTGAGGTGACTGCGTCCTTGACTGCGCGTCGTGAGTCTAAGACTCGTGCTTCCACTCCTGAGCGTCGAGAGCCTGAGACTAGAGCTTCTATCCCTGCTCGTGTTCGTCGTGTTCGTCGTCCTCGTGCTGCGGGTGTACCAGGCACTCACGATATGACACTCCGTCCTTCCTCTGTTCCACAACGTGTTGTCCTGCCGTCGCCTCCCGCGTCCTCTCTTCCGCACGCTCCTGACCCTAAGTCTGACCTTGTCCGTGCTGCCAGTCCGAGTGTCACTTGTCTCCTTGCCTCAGTTGTGAGTGACACTTCCTTTGAGTGTGCTGCTGCGTCTGCCTTAGTTGCTGAGCTTGTTGACTTTGCCGCTTTGTGCCACCTTGACTATGCTGCGAGTCTTGTTTTTTACTCTTCCTGTCCTCCGTCCGTCGGGGGTGAGCTTGCCCTTGGCTGTGACGTTCTTGAGGACAGACATTTTGAGCTGTAGTGCCTAGCGGCCGCTGCACCTCATCTCGCGTTTAGTGCAGTGCATCCGGCCGCTGCACCTCATCTAGTTGTTCTCACCGGTCACTCAGACGCTTCTTGGGTTGACGACCAGACGACTCACCGGTCGACACAGGGGTACGGTTTGAGCCTCGGCACTGGTTCTGTCTCGTGGAGGTCCACTCGCTCTTCTTCTGTACTTAGTTCCAGCTGTGAGGCCAAGATCTACGCTGGGGCTATGGCTGCATAGGAGCTCCCCTGGCTGACATACCTGCTGACCGACTTGGGTGAGCGACCTCGTTCTCCTCCATTTCTGTACGTCGACAACAAGGCCATGATTGCCTTGTGTCAGGACCAGAGACTGGAGCACAGAACGAAGCACATTGTTCTCCGTTACTTCCTCACGCGAGAGCTGCAGCATCGTGGTCAGCTTCGTCTTGCTTACGTGGCCACACAGGCCAACACTGCTGATGTCTTCACCAAGGCCCATGGGCCTATTGATCATCAGCGTTTTTGCACTGCTCTTGGGCTTGTGCCCACTCTGCCTCACCTGTTTGTCTCTTGATCTTGCCTTGCACTTGCTGTACTTGGATATATATGATTATACCTGCATGTTTCCTGTTGCTAGGTTGTGACCAGTGTACTGCAATTGCTTTTTTAAACTCTGCATGTGAACTGGCCTTGTGGCTGCTTGCTTGTGCTCATAATGTGTGGTGATCTTGAGATTCACCCTGAGCTTTGCTTTGCTTTGCTTTCTTCTCTTGCTTGACTGGTCTTATGATCGCTTTTTGTCCCCCACTTAGCCTATGGGGGTGTGTCAAAGTATGCACTTATAGTGCTGTAGTCTATAGTGGGGTACACTGTAGAGGGGACAACCCTTTAAGGGTTTACTACTTGTATCCCCATCCTACTCAATGCACACATTCTTGTTTCCGTATTCTAACACCATATTCCCCGTGTGTGTTCACTATGTGTGTACTCCGTGTTTCGTCCGTGTGTGTGTTCCCTGTGTCCCCTATTGTGTGTTTCCCTTGCTAAATATGTAGTTGAATTGGCACTTGTTATTTTGAATTGTCAGCATTCAACATCAGTGCTTGTGCCTTATTTCCTAGCGTGCGCACAGCTCAAGGAACCATATACAATCCAGCAATAAGCAGCTGTGAGGCAACAAGTCATGTTGGTCTGTGGCTGGCAGCCCACAGAGGCATACTGGCAGCCCCTGCTGCACTCCCTGCCCCTCCTGCTCCCCCTGCCCCTCCTGCTCCCCCTGCCCCTCCTGCTTCCCCTTCCCCTGCTGCTCTCCCCGCCACCCCTCCGGCACTAAGCAGCTGTTTGGCAACTATTTAAGCTGGTCTGTGGCTGGCAGCCCACAGCCAGTGAGGCATACTGGCAGCCCCTGCTGCACTCCCCGCCGCCCCTCCTGTCCCCCCTGCCCCTCCTGCACTCTCCCCCACTGCTGCGCTCCCCCCTCCCCCTCCCCCACTCCCTCTCTCTGCTGCCCCTCCTCCGCCCCCTGCACTGCTGCCCTGCCTGGGCAGTTGCTGCAAGGGGCTGTATTGGCCCGGGGGTATTTGGGGGTTTGCCCCTTGTTGGGCTTGGGGTATGTGCTGCACCGCCCGCTGCTGATGCTGCTGAAGCTGTGGCAGCTGCTGCGGCTGGGATTGCAGTTGCTGCTGGGACGGTGGCGGCTGTGGCTGCAGCAGTTGTGTATGTAGCTGCTGTGGCTGTAGCGGCGTGGGTAGGTAGAGAGGGGGAGCAGCATCATATGAGGGAAAGGGATGGAAGGACGTTATGGGGGAAGTGGATGATGCTGCCACTGAAGCCTGTTGCTGCTGCTGTTGCTGCTGCTGCTGCTGCTGCTGCTGTTGTTGCTGCTGCTGCTGCTGCTGCTGTTGCTGTTGCTGCTGTTGCTGTTGCTGTTGCTGTTGCTGCTGCTGCTGCTGCTGCTGTTGCTGTTGCTGTTGCTGTTGCTGTTGCTGTTGCTGTTGCTGTAGCTGTTGCTGTTGCTGTTGCTGCTGCTGCTGCTGCTGCTGCAGGTGGTGTTGTTGTTGTTGTTGTTGCTGCTGCTGTTGTTGCTGTTGCTGCTGTTGCATGTGTTGCATGAAATGCTGCTGGGAGGGCATCGGAGCTGCTACCTGCTGGCTGCCGGCAGTGCCAGCCTGCCCCGGGGCACTCACAGGCATGTAGAACCCACCACTGCTGTAGGCCATGTGGGGAAGCGCCATACCACCACCAGCAGCAGCACCAGCAGGACCACCAGTAGCACCGCCAGCACCAGCAGAACCAGCAGCGTGGGGCGGTAGCATGGTGAAGTGCTGGCTGTATGGCGGTGGAGCCGCAGGAGTAACAGCAGCGCCCCCAGCGGCACCACCACCACTGCCTTCCGACCTGTTACCACTCACCACCGTACCTGATGAGGATGCTGGGGGGATGGCCTGCTGCTGCTGCTGCTGCTGCTGCTGCCCCTGCTGCCCCTGCTGCTGCTGCTGCACCTGCACCTGTTGCTGTTGCTGCTGCTGCACCTGTTGCACCTGTTGCTGCTGCTGCCCCTGTTGCTGCTGCTGCTGTTGCGGGGGGGTGGGGGCGGGGACAAGGAAGGGGGCAGTGACATACATCTGCCCAGGGGGGGGCGGGGGGAGCGCCATGGCCATCCCAGGGGCGCCCATGAATGGCTGCATGTGAGCCATCTGGGGCACTTGGTTCATTTGACCTGCCTGACCCATCTGCTGGGCCTGCGCTGCTTGCTGCGCCTGTGCATGCGCCTGCGCCATGTATTGCTGCATCTGCATCATCTGCTGCACCTGCCCCGCTTGCTGCACCTGTGCTGCCTGCTGTCCCTGCGCTACTTGCTGTGCCCCGCCCTGCCCTTCCTGCCCCGCCTGCCCCTTGCCCTGTTGCTCCCCTTGACCCTGACCCGTTGAGCTGGCGCTGACCTGGAATGGAAGCTGACCTGGCAGAAAAGCTGCCATCATCATTTGCTGCTGCGGCGGCTGCTGCACAGAGCTTCCGGTGCTTTTGCCGTCACTCCCAGGCGGGAATGAGGGCGGGGCAGTAGGAGGAAAGGCGTATGGAAAGGCGCCAGCAGGCACAGCGATCCAACCCTGCATGCCTGCAGGTGCGGGGGGCACCGAGCCTGGCATGGAGGCCTGGAAGGGCATGGGAACAGGCATGGGGAAGGCTCCAGGCGGCCAGGCTTGGGGGGGGAAGGAGTGTGGAGGCAGGGGGTGGGGTGGGGTAGGGAGAGTGGCTGGCGGCTGTAAGGGCTGTGCTGTTGGCGGTCGGGTTAGTGCCTCCTGTGACGCTGCTTGCTGCTGCACCTGCTGCTGCTGCTGTTGCTGCTGCTGTTGATGTGGCTGCTGCTGCTGTTGCTGTTGCTGTTGCTGTTGTTGTTGCTGTTGCTGCTGCTGCTGCTGTGGTTGTTGCTGCGGTGGCAGCTGCTGTGACTGTTGTTGTTGCTGTTGCTGCGGCTGTGAGGCCCTGCTGTCAGCAGCGTTGGCATCACCCTCCTCGTGCTTCACCACCACGACAGCAGCCTCACCCCCTCCACGGCTCATGCTCACCAGGGAGCTGCCACCCGCCGCAGCATCCCCATCCTGCCCGGCCTTCTGCCCCCCCTGCTGCCCTCCCTGCTGCTGCTGCTGCCTGCCTGTCTGCCCGGCGCCATCGCTGCTCTCCCGCGGCTCTCCCCCAACGCGGCTCTTCCCCCCCGCTGCTGCCGACGACGCGGCTGCGGAGGAGGCGCGCGGAGTGGGCGCGGAGGAGGAGAGCACGGACACGGGGGGGCTCATAGCCTGCTCCGACCCGCTTCCCCCCATTCCCCCCATGCCCCCCGCTCCCCCCATGCCCACTGCGCTGTCCGCGCCTCTCATACACATCTGCGCCTGCGCCATGGGCGCATGGGACTGTGGTATCGGCGCAAGGGTCTGCGCCATGGGCGCGTGGGGCTGGGGAATGGGCATGGGTGCAGCGTTGGCAGTAGGCATGCGTAAGGGCATGGGCATGGATGCGGGATTATGTGGTGAAGGCGGCATGTGCATGGCAGGCTGAACCATTCCAGGCTGGCTCATGGCTGACGTCAGCATGCCAGGCTGGCTCATAGCTTGCACCCCTTGCTGCATGTGCAGCGGTGACGTCAGCATCTGAGGGCGAAACTGCGGGTGAAATTGCATGGAAGGCGCGGAAGCAGAATCGGCAACGGCGGGGGGAGGGGATGCTGCAGGAGCGGCGGGGGGAGCGGAAGCGGGCGCGGGGGCAGCAAAAGGAGGGCGGGAGGGCTGGGCGGCAGGAGCGTAGCCCGACAGGTGTCTTGACGCCTGAACGTGTCCGTGTACTGGCGCCTGCGTTGGCGTCTGCAACCCACCCCCACTAGCAGCACCAGCAGCCGCGCCAGCAGGAATCGGAGGAGCAGCAGCAGGAACACGGGCGGCTGGAGGCGGCGCAGGGGAAGCGGTGGAAGCAGGGGCGGCGGGGGTAGCGGGGGGCGCAGTGGCGGAAGGGGGCGCAGTGGCCCAGGGCAGGAGCGCGGACATGCGGTGGTGCAGCCGCCCCTTGAGCGCGTCCACCTCGCCCTTCAGCGCGCCCTTCTCCTGCCGCAGCTCCGACTTCTCCGCCGCCAGCTGCGGAGAAAAACCGCACAGGAGAACGATGCGCGCGAAAAGGGAGAGTGAGGGGAGTGACGGGAGAAGGTGTGGTGCACGCGCAGGACAGGAGCAGCCCACGGAAGGAACAAAAAAAGCGACCGTAGCTGACCGCTCGCCAGGCAACTTTATCCCTGCCACTTCCTCCGTCTCGCCTCGCCCCTCCTCGCCTCACCTCTTTCGACTCGTCCACGAGCGCGCTGTGCTCGGCGCGCAGTCGGTTCACGTTCGCACGCAGCTCGCGAAGCATCGTCAGCCCGTCGGTCAGAATCGTTGCCTTATCATTCTTCGGACGGTCAGGATCTGCAGATGGACGACAGGAGAAAGGCGAGATAAACTCATGAGAGTCACTTCGTCAGAATCAAAGGGAGGGTACGAGAGCCCGTGACCTGTGAATTACTGACATGAGTGGGACGCGTTAAGAGAGCATTCTATTACCGAGTACACTCGCGAGTTCCATGAATTGGTCGTTGAGTCGATCCCGCCGCATCTTCTCTCTATCAGCCTTCTGCAGCTTCTTCGCCGCCGTGCTCTCATGCTCTCCCCCTTCGCCCCCCTCCGCATCGTCTCCTCCCCCCGCGCCCCACTGCGCGCTCCCCCCGCCCGCACCCTCTTCCGCCGACACCATCTCCCCCCCTACTACTCCGTACATCAGCCTAGACCCACCAGCGCTTCCGCCCGCGCCTTCCGCCATACCGACGTTTCCTGGGGCTACAGTGGAGTCGAAGGGAATCGAAACCACGACTTCTGGTGTGGGTAGAAGAGGAGGATGAGCGAGATCGCGGCTGAACGACGCTGGTAAAATCACAACCTCCCTCTCCTCGTCCTCGTCTACTGATTTGTCTGGATTCGGTCGAAAATCACCCGCTGCTGCAGCGCGCGCCTTGCGCTTATGTCTGTTTCCCAGCAGTGGGACCCGCCGAGCCGGCTCGACTACTGCGGCGCCGCCCATGTCTCTATTGCTTGCTGATTTTAGTACGGAAAATATACGGAAAAGGGTAACACAGTAACAAATACGAATGGGAGCACAGGGTGACGAATCAACTAACTAATCTACTGAATCAAGGACGAAGTAAAACGAGTCAGGCAAGATAAGCAATCTAAGAAAAGGAGAGAGCGAGAATTTAGCGGTGACATGCACGACAACAGACTGAGAGTGGAAGGCGATTTTTGAGATGTCTCGAAAATCCATATGCACGGAATAGTCGAGCGCGACATCAGAGCAGCTCTACGTGGGAAGGTGAGGGGAGCAAGAGGACGCACGTGCATCGCGATGGTTGCTCGCGGGATTGCCGTCGAAAGGACCTTCCCCCACACTGTTGGCGTGCAATCGTGTGCCTATCCGGATGAGAGTTGGCTTCAAGTGCAGTGCTGGCGAGGGCTAGGGAGCGAAGCGGGTGCAAAACATGTGTCCGCGCGCTGCTCGCTGCCTTGATGTTGGTTCATCGGGTCACATCACACACACTGTGACGAGGAGCAGGTGGAAGTGCACTGGGCGGATAGGGGGAGGCGGATGGGTGGGAGCTGGGTGGGATTGGATGAGCGAATAGCGACTCCGGCCCAGAGGAGCACAGGGCGGGAGCGATGGACAGGCGGAAGGGCACACTCTGCACACGGTACAGAAAGTCGGCAGGTCCTGCTGGTGTGGCTCACGGCGAAGCGGAAAAGAGAGGACAGACCAGAGCTGAGCGTGAGGTGTGCCGTGTGTGGTGGTGGTGAGGCGAGGCGAAGAAGAGGAATCTGTGGCTGTGCAGGTATGGGATGGGAGGGAGATGTGGCGGGTGAAATGACACTCTGAATGGAAGGAGAAAGGTGTGCTGAGTGTGTTGATGCCTCGCCTCTGCCATGCCGTTAGCACAGGTCTTTGCGTGGCTTGGCGATCGGGTCAGCAGCCTAGGGCCTTTCGGCTGGACACGTCAGGTTATTGTGATAGCATTGCGATCGCAGTACGGTTAAAGAAAAATGGTAACCCTCTTCTGTGACCGTCGCTAGAAGTCGTTCGTGTCACCTGGTTAGTCACTTTTTTTCGCTGGATAGCTCGGTTTTATGACAACCCAGTGGCCCACATTATAAGCACGATACACTCAGGGTCAACCTTCCCCAACGAACACGCAGCACGTGCTCCGATGAGGCAACCCCAGCTGTTTGCCCCCGTACACGTTGTTGTAAGCTCCAGTTACACTACACTGTTTCTGTAATCTCACAAAAAGTGTTTTCATCCTGCATCCTTTCAGTCGTTTCCCCATTCGAGCAACATTCAAATCCCAATGCATTCGTTTCACAACACACACCCAGATTCCATTTTCCCTTCTCATGCTGCATTGTCCGCCATACGTAGCCTTTCTCTGCGTCACCTCGCTGCTCTGTCTGCTTCCCATGGCTCCCATCGACCCGCACTCCAACACGCAGGCCGGCGAGCCGCTCACCACGTTCGTCGACTTCAATCTGACCGTCGATTTCGACAACAAGCAGATCTCAGGAACGGCACGATTAGTGCTAGACAAACCCGTAAGCCTCACGGGCCAGCTCCATACCGTGCCTCGCAAATCGTCCTCCGGAATCCGTAATAATCTCTAGTTTCTAGATTTCCCATTTCCAATGGTTCTGATTCCCATTTCCCAAATCTTATGATTTGTTTCCCCTCCGTCCGTGTTCTCCGACCGACTGCCTGCAGGCCGCGGGGACGCTCAGCCTGGACTCGCGGGATCTGACCATTCTCGGCGCCACCGACGCTGCCGGCAACGACGGTGAGATTCCCGTGCGAAATTCTCGCGTTGGAGCTGTTTTCCGTGTCTCTGCTGGTGTTGCCGCTGTCATGACATGGAATGCTCGTGTGCCTTTCCTCCGTGGGCTCGCGTCCGATAGTGACTCCGTTCGTCTGCTGCTTTCCCTCTATCTTCCTCGCTGTCACTCCCCCTTCTCACGTCTGCGCGCTTGGTTCGTTATTGCAGCCATCCCCCTCCTCCCCTCCTCCCCTCCTCCCCTCCACCCCTCCTTCCCTCCTCCCCTCCTCCCTCGTAGGACGTGGCGTTTCGGTTTCCGCCATTTGTAGAATTGCGTCATCATGACCTTCCGTCACCATATCGCATGTCCCCATGATGGCATGTCATCACCACACGGCGTGGTATCATCACGGCATGTATTCACCATATGGCGTGGTGTCATCATGCGGCATGGCATGGCATGTGGCATGGCATGGCGTCCTGCAGTGCCGTTTCAGCTGCATCCTCCACATCACGTGCGCGGATCGCTGCTCCAGCTCTCCCTGCACTCCAACGAAGTCACCATTCGTGAGTCACCATCCCTGTGTCACCGTGAGAGTGTCTCCACTCCATCATGTTCCTACGTCTTGGCCTTCTGTGATGCACGATTCGCCTTCTGCGCCCTGTCTCCCTCTCCTCCCTCAACCATTCCCTACCCATGCTCCCCGCCCCCCTCGCCCCCTTTTCCTCCCCACGCCCCTTTGCGCCTGCAAGCTTCCACCACTGCTCTCTCGCCCCACCCCCTCCACCCGTCCCCACCCACCCCCTCCATCTCTCCCCGTCTCACTCCCCCTTTCCCCACAACGCCTGCAGGCTTCCACACGGGTCCCAATGCCTCAGCGTTGCAGTGGCTGACACCAGCGCAGACAGCAGGAGGGCAGCACCCGTACGTGTTCACGCAGTGCCAGGCCATCCATGCGCGCTCCGTCTTCCCCTGCCAGGACACACCGCAAGCACGCATCAAGTACCGCGGTCAGCCCCTTCTCCTGCCAAGGCTCTGAGTGTTTTGATTCACAGGCCACTCTTGCCTTGACTTGTAAGGCACGTAGAAGTCATCTTATCGCAGTCAGCACGTCCGCTTGCCACGGCCCTGAGCGATCACATTCAGTTCATGCTTTATCCCGTCCATGCCTTCCCTTTGCCCGTGACGTCTTGTTGAACGCTGTTGCTATGTCAGTCGGTCCGTTGTTCCTCGCCATTCACCCCTTCCCCACGCTTTCCCTTCTTCCTCTTCCCCATGGTTATCTCGTTTTCCTTCCCACCAACTCTTCGCCACGTGTGAACATCCACCGCAGCGCGAGTGAACATCCCGGCAGGCCTCCACGCGGTCATGAGCGCGCAGCACGTGGCCACAGAGCAGACGGCGGATGCCGGCCGCGTGGAGGAGGTGTTTGAGATGGACCAGCCCATCCCGCCGTACCTCTTTGCCCTCGCCGTCGGTGACATCGCCTCCAAGACGCTCAGCCCGCGCGTGAAGGTCTATGCCGGTAAGACGATGTTGATTGTGATGTTGATGGTTGATGTGTTGCCAAGCAGCTTCTTGTGCACCAGACAACTCGCCCATGTCTCTCTCCTCCCCTCTTCCCCCTCCTGCCGCCCCCGCCCTCCCAACCCACCCCCCTCGCTCCCCTCTGCACTCTTCCTCTCCCACAGAGCCCTCACAGGTGGAGGCAGCAGCGTACTAGTTTAGCGAGACAGGGGACAAGATCAAGGCAGCAGAGGCCCTGTTCGGCCTGTGTGGTTGGCCGCTCTCTAACCCCCTTCGTACCTCTCTGCACTCACCATCCTTATCCCCTCCCACAGAGCCATCGCAGGTGGAGGCAGCAGCATACGAGTTCAGTGAAACAGAGGACAAGATCAAGGCAGCAGAGGCCCTGTTCGGCCTGTACGGTTGGCCCCTCTTTAACCCCCTTCGTACCTCTTTGCACTCGCCATCCTTATCCCCTCTAACAGAGCCATCACAGGTGGAGGCAGCAGCATACGAGTTCAGTGAAACAGAGGACAAGATCAAGGCAGCAGAGGCCCTGTTCGGCCCATACGGCTGGGGCGATTTCAACCTGCTGCTCATGCCGCCCGCCTTCCCCTACGGCGGCATGGAGAACCCTCGCTGCACCTTCCTCACGCCCACGCTCCTCGCTGGCGACCGCTCATTGGCCAGCGTGGTAGCGCACGAGCTGGCGCACAGCTGGACTGGTAACCTGGTTACCAACGCGGATTACTCCTCCTTCTGGCTGAACGAGGGGTGGACGGTGTATGCGGAGCGGAGGATTCTGGAAGCAACGGAGGGGGAGGAGAAGGCGAAGATAGATGCGGCGATGGGGTGGTTAGACTTGCAGAAGGGGCTCTCACGCTTCACCTCAGAAACGGGCTCATCCAGCCGTCGATTCACGCAGCTGGATCTGGGCACGGACGGTCTGGATGAGATCGATCCAGACGAGGTGTTTTCGGAGGTTCCGTATGAGAAGGGGTTTTTCTTCCTCACGCGTCTCGAGAAAGCCGTGGGGCGGGCGGTGTTTGACGCGTTTATTACCAAATACATCAGCAAGTTTGCCTTCCAGTCCATCACCACCGCCACATTCCTCGAGTTTCTGAAGGCAGAGTTGCCTCAAGTGATGGAGAAGGGAGGCGAGAGTTGGGTGGACGTGGAGGAGTGGGTGAGAGGACAAGGAATGCCGGCCGAAGCGGAGAGTATCGTGCCGCAGTCTGCCAGGCTGGAAGCTGTGCAACGGGCGGCGAGTGGGTTTGTTGAGGATCCGAACTCCAAGTTTGGGCGGGCAGATGCGAGTGACTGGGGTCCTGATGAGTGGCAGATCTTCCTTGCCGGTCTGCCCAGAACTCTGCCCATTGAAACGCTCGTGCGATTGGACGAGGAGTTTGGATTTTCAAAGGTACGTGCTCATGGTTCTTTCCCACTTCCCTGTCTCGCTTTCACCACCGCTTCTCTCCTCCCCCATTTTGTCTCTTAACGTCCTGTTTCAACGCCGTCACTGCCGTGCATTTCGTTTCTTGTCCCTCACGGATCCCTTTTGCACATTTAACCGAATTTGTAACTTTGTTCCTCGCATCCAGCAAACTCTCCAATCCCACACCACCACTCCCACCTGGTGCCCTTCCATCAGAGCAAGAACGCGGAGATAAGTGTGGGGTTCCTGACAGTGGCAGCGCAGTCAGGAGCAACGCAGTTCCACTCCGAGGTGGAGGCAACCCTCATGTCTGTGGGCCGCATGAAGTACCTGCGCCCGCTGTACACTGCGCTGATTAAGGGCGGTGCCAAGGACATGGCTGAAAGGGTGTTCGAGGCGGCCAAGGCGGGATATCACCCAGTGGCATTGGCACTAGTTAGTGGTCTTCTGAAGGGGTGAGGGGAGGTGGATTGATGTGTACAGTGGAAGGATAATTAGTAGCTCATGTATAGAATTAAGCATCTAATATCGATTCTGAATGTACCTTTTCAGCAAAAGCTACATATGAACACTTATCGTTACTGCAAAAGTTTCACTGTCAATGTTTCTTTTAGCGAAGCCTCCCCTATGGGGAGAAGCTTTTGTAACACATCGCCCGCCCAAAGTCATGGAAGTCTCGAGTTCTCTTTGGTTCCTGGATGCTTGGAGGAATCACTCCGGCTGGAACCTCTTCCAGCGAACCAGAGCACTGAATCTGGCGATCTCGCCAGCGCACGAGATTTTAACTATCGTGAACACCAATCGTTTTACCGAAACCCACTGATCGAGGAAAAGCAGCCTCCTCTCCACCAACTCACAGAATGTGCACGTCAGCAAGCCGCATGACCCTTCTTGCCACTGTACTGTACTTCGCCAAAGATTCTGCTCTTTCCCAGACCAAACTACAGTGCAAACCCAAGGTGTGCATGCAATGCAAGTGCGAGTCCCAACCAACCAGAACCAGACAAACGGAGCAGACTGCAGGCAGCAGGGCAGGGCAGATGGAAGAATGCCTCGATTGGATCTGCCCCGCCTTCGATAGCAGACGCTGCTCGCTGGCGCCCAGTCACCCCCTCGCCTCTCATCCGCTCATTTTCCAACGAGCTTTTCTCACTTCAGCTGATTCTGCTCGCTGCTTCGTCTTCGCCCTTTCGCCTGGCTTGCATCTAGCCAAACACCCCCTGTAACCATACGTACTCGGCCAGCAAGTCGCCATGTGGCTCTGCGCGCCGATTAATGCAGTCAGCAGGGCGCCGTGATCCGGTTTTGTGGATTGAGCTTGCAGCGTCTGTGCTGTGTGGTCAACGAGTCGAGGCGTCTTGGAAACGTCGAACACCTAAAACCAGATCACGTGGGTAACGGCAGGTGAACTACCTCGGACTTCTGAGTTGTCTCCACTTGTGCCACGCCGATTGGTTGAATACTGCGTTTCGGAGCGCTAGCAGCTACTCTTTTACTCTATTTATATGTGCTCCTCCCATCGGCTATTACGACCATCGCGGACGTGACGGTTGACGTTTGGTTTGTTAGGTTGAATCTCAGAAGGCAAAGATCTCTGGTATCAAATATAGTCGAGGCCCGTCAGCTTGTAGATAAGTGGATAGGGATTAGGCTCCTTTTCAGATATCAGTGTTTCTTGGATGGAGGAGAGCGGTGACAATGACAGCACGTGGGAGGAGCGACCTCCCAAGACACAGAACCATCTTAGCCCACTCAACGCCGAAGGCGGAGACGTGGGGTCGCACACACCAGCAGCTAGCGACGGCTATGCGTCCGATACCGGCCCCGAGGCTCATGGTGGTGGAGGCGGTAAAGGCGCGGCGGGATGCGGTGGCTCCAGCCACGCTAAGGAAAGGAAGAAAGGTACGTTTTGCAATCACACACGCCCCGCCAATCGTACGCGGCTTTGCATACCTCATTAGAAGTAGAGCTGAGCACTACCGTGTTGAGTAAATTGAGTCTGGCTGGGCTGTATGGGTGATGAGCAGAGAGTGTGTGCCTTGGTTGTGAGCAGGGATTCCATGGACTGAGGAGGAGCACCGGTTGTTCCTGGTGGGGTTGTGCAAGCTGGGGAAGGGCGACTGGCGGGGCATCGCGCGGAGCTTCGTGGTGACGCGCACGCCCACGCAGGTGGCATCGCACGCGCAGAAGTACTTCAACCGCCAGACCAACCTCAACAAGCGCAAGCGCCGCTCCAGCCTCTTCGACATCAACACCGACTCGGTAAGCCGCCCGGAATCTCTCACGCGTTCTTCTCGCCGCTCGCCGCTCCCGTCCTCTTTCCTTGTCGTTGCACTGTTTCCCGTCATTGGAGTCCCACACTGATCATCGTTTTTTTCCCTGCGTGCGGATTCTTCTGTTCCCGCGGTTGCGCGACCCGCAGATTGCGGAGGAGAGGATGGATATGATTCGCTCCGTGAGCACGCCCACCCTCCCCCTCGCGCCTGAAGACGCCAAGTGCAGCGCGCGTGCCGCTCCTACCCGCGATCCACCCAGCCACGCGCATAACCCCCCCTCGTCCGCGTCATCGTCCAAGATTCCGTCCAATCTCCCGTCAGTCAAGCTACCGTCAGTCACGTTACCGTCAGTCACGGCGTCACCGCCACCTCCATACGCGCAGCACGCCGCCCTGCTGGACCTCAACCGCTCGCACTCCTACCCCGTGGTCCCTGGCGCCGGGGATACCCACCTCTCGCGCTCTCTCAGCCGTCCGATGTCCCTCCCATCGCTCACTCCCGCGAATCCCACTGTACATACTCCCGCGGACGTGTTGTTCTCCCCTGCTGACGTCATTCATCCGTGGCGCATCCCGGGCGTTGCTGAACCATGGGGGCCCGGTGGGTACCCCGCAGGAGGCCGCACCTGGCCTCCGCATCATCCTGCTGGGCCCGCGGCCCGTCCAGATGCATTGTATCCGGCGATGATGATGATGGATCCAGCTGTGAGGCACAGGATGGGGTACGAGATGCTGCTGCGCATGGAGGAGGAGAGGAGGCAGCGCGCGCACGCGGTGGCTGCTGCTAATGCGGATGCTGATGTGGATGTACAGGGCGCTGAGAAGAAGTTTAAGGTGGAGAACGAGGGGGGCACGGGGGTGGAAGGCAGTGTACATAAAGAGCTTCTGCCTTTCAAATTTGTCCCTGGTGCCTCTAGATTGTTTGAATCAATGGTTCCCGGTAGTGGTCCTAATAAGAGTAAGCTGGAGGAGGAAGGCGGTGCGTTCAAGGAGGCAGGAGCGACTGCTGCTGCGCAAGCAGATGCAGTGCCTATGAAGCAGTTTCCTCCGCCTTTCTCCCCTCCCCATGGCTTCTACCCGCCCACCTACCATTCCTTCCCTGACCCATCATTCATGTACATGTGGCCTCCCTATCCTCCTCCTCCGCTCAATCCTGGTTGCACCTGGCAGCCTCCCTTCCCTGGTAGTCATTCTAACAGTCCAGCGGGGCCCAGCCGAGTGCTTCGTCCCACGGCCATGCTGGCCACATCGCCCCTCCACGTGCCTGTTGCTGTCAAGGAGAGAGCCGATGGTGTCTCAGAGAAGGGGACGGCTCATAAGCAATTCGAGCTGCAAGGAGACTCCGAGTCCGGTTCCAGGGGGGTAAGTGAGGGGCTGAGGTTAGGGTTAGAGGCGTCTTCGAACCTCGGTTCTTCCAAGCCCTTCACAGTGCTCAGTCTCAGTGCTGCTCCAGGCGCAGCTGATTCTCTACCCCGGAAGACACCTACTACGCTTCAGCTCTTCGATGTGTCCCGCCCTTCAGCGTTTCAGCTCCAGACTACTTCTTTCAAGGAGAGGTCACAGCCGCGCGGTGCTGGGGGTGTTGGCCATGCTCCGATAAGCGTCTCGTAATGCTCCTCCAAAGGCTATGCGACCAAGGCTGTCTTGTGCCTATCTCTTTTCTAGTGGATTGTGTACATAGTGTATAGAATGATTGTTGCTGTGTGGTCTAGCTTTTGTGTTGGCTTGTGTCTAGTACTTTGTATATCATTTATGTATATGGTCGTTTCCAATAAAATTTTGTGTGCAAATGCTAAATGATGGGCTAATGGGGTTCAGCCTTCCGCTGATTCGTGGGAAAGCAACCAACCATGACACGGAAACTCGATCCTCATTGACCAGCGTTACTGCTATGTGCTGTCCTCGTCGTAGCCGTCGATCTTTGACAATCAACCAGGTCAACAACAATTGTTTGTATGATAGACGTTCGATGGATATTGGGTGACCTCTGGCAGCCATAACTCCCCCTGACACATCCATGTCGCGTCGCAGCATCGCGTTCCGCATGTCGAACCTAGACTGACCAATCACAAGCGCCTTCCAGCACCTTCTGCCCTATTCGACGTGCAATCCCTACAACCTCACGCACAACGACGGAACATTCCAAAATGCAGAACCCTCACCGCCAGTCGCGCGGATGACCAGCTTGGCTGGGAAGGGAAGGAGAATGAAGCGAAACTGTGAGAAATTCGGTTCTGCCTTGAGGTTGTCGCGTCGGCTCAACTCAGCTGCAACGTAACTGCTGAACTGATCCCGTGAGCTCCACGGCTCCGAGTTGTTTATGTAGTCGATACTATCTCAGGTGACTTCCTACTGCCTTTTTCGAGCTTGTAGAACGTAGATTGTGCGGTCTCCTCGACTCTTTATTAGGCGCAGCACAAGCTTCCGACTTCACCGCAAATCAGCTATCGTTAGAAGGTTTTCTAGCTGCGTCTGCACGTTGTAGCGTTGAACTCGCAACTTCTTAACCGCTTGAAACAGCAGAGCATGGCGATGGATGTAAGAGTAGCGCTGTCACTCGGACGGCGGCTCTTGTTTCTCGCTGCCATAATCAGCGTTTTCTCAGCGTCCATCGCTCTAGCAGCATCCGTCACTCAAGAACCGTCTCCTACATTCGGAGCATCAATCCAAGAGGCTCTGAAGGTAGTAACATTTGGAAGAATCCAGCACGACTAAATAATGACGAGGGACTGACAGTGCAGTTCTGTTATTACCATGACCAGTCGACGTTCACAAACTGCGAGCTGCGGGCGCGTCGTTTCAAGGGTCGTTTCATTGAGAACTTGCTAATCGCGTGAGGCTTTGCTACTTCGCTCCCTCCTCTCTCCTGCTCGCAGGACTTCACCCGCCACGTGAGCATTGAAAACCGGTGGCCTACGTCAATGACTCGTGTCAGCAGAGTGGATTTGGAGGACGCCACGTGGCAGCGCGTCCTGCAGTACGACTTCGAGGTGCAACTCGGCGCGCAGCGGAAAGCGTTTTCTCTTTCGGAGCAGCTAAGCCCTCCCGAGTACCTCCTTCCCCACTTGCCGCCTCTCGCCGCGCCCGACGCTGCTAGCATCGACGAATCGACGGGAGAAGCAGAAGAGGAACAAGCAATCGGTGCTTCCGAGGAGAGTAAAAGCGGAGACTCAGGAAAATCAGGAGCCCATGCTTCTCCGGACGGGGGTTCTCTTGCGCTGCGAGGCGACTCTCTGTTACAATCAGTTTCAGGGTCGGTGCTGACGTCAGCGGCGGCGGGGTCACTGCCGCCGGTGACGGTGGAGGGGCCGATGGAGATGTGGGTGCAGGACGCGGAGCAAGTGCGCCTCGCCATGCCGGTGAGTTGCGCTGCAGGGTTGTGGGTCACCCCAGTCCTTCCCCTCTCCCTTCCGTTATCCGAATGTCGCATTGTTCCCCATTTCTTGTCCTTTTGGGATGCTCTCTTCTCACCGCTCGCCGCTCCTCCCCTCTCTCCCCTTCCCGCGCCGCCAGCACGACGTGGATGCGGGCGAGGTGAGGAAGGTCGTGCTCGCGTCAGGCGCCGCCGTCACGGTGCACGGCGCGCAAGCAGTCGCCTTGGCGCGCCCGCTGCAGCTCCCCCTCCCGTCTCTCTCCCCGCGCTCCCTCTCCGCCTCCTCCGCCTCTTCCGCGCTTCTCGCCCTTGCGGAAAAGCTCAAGGCCGCCGCGCTGTCCTGGACCTCCCCGTCCCGCGCGCCCTCGTCCGCGTCGCCCCTGCCGCGCGAGCTCGTGTCGCTCCGCGTGGTGCGCCCATCCGCCATCGTCTCCGCCAGCGTGCCGCTCTCCCCGCTCCCCCCCGCTCGCGACGTCGCTAGCATCGGCCTGGTGGAGGCTGTTTCTGGGGCGGGTGCGACTGACGACCTCGGGAATACCGCCTCTAGTACCGCTACTGCCCTTGCACCCGCCAAGCTCAGAGTCAAACGGATAGCAGAAGGCGCAGTGGAGCTGACGATAGCGAAGCCGCGATCGACATCAGCAGCAGCAGGAAGAAGCGCCCTTTCTTCCCTCGCGGCGGCGCTACCTCTGGCGTCGCTCACAGCCCCCCCCGGGCCATGGCCGTTCCCAGCAGTGAACCGGTCGGATGGGCGGCTGACGGCGCTGGGGGAGGCGCTGCAGGGCGCGCTGGGGGAGGTGGTGGCGCATCAGGGCAGGGGGAAGGGCGGGAAGGACAAGGGGAAGGGCGGGAGTGGTGGTGGTGGTGCGTCTGACGGCTTGCCCCGCGTGTTCCAGCTGGTAAAGGCCAGTGCTTCTGCTGGCCGGGTGGTTCGCATTCCTCTGCAGGTGGAATTGCGCGTGGAGGGCGTTGGCCAGTCCATGCTGCCAATGGCGCTCAATAACGAGACTGCTTCAAAAGAGGATGGAATGAAGGCAGAAACGGGGGAGGGTGGGATGAAGGAGGAAGCAGAGAAGCGGAAGGTGGATGGGAGTGACAGCAGGGAGAAGAAAGGAGGGGCGGGGGGGAAGGAGAAGGGCGGGCAGGAGTCAGTTGTCATGACTCGTCAGCAGTGGGAGTTGGTAGCGCAGGTGGATGGCGGCGGTCGGCTGGTTCCCGTGCATGTGAGACGAGTGGGGTCGGTGGGGCCGTCCATGGTGGTGGCGCCGCATGTGCTCTCCCCCAACACCACTGCCTCCCTGCCCAACCTGCCCCCGCCCAGCCGACTCATGCTTTGAGTCGCTTCCACCTGTTGGTTGGTATGAGATCAGTCGCACAATGGCAGGGTGCTTCTTATAGAGAAAAGATGCCGCATGGCTGCCTTGACTCACACACAACGCGTGTGGTACATAGTGTATGGAGTATTGCTGAATGGCCTAGGGTGCCTGATGAGATCTACTAGATTACCGTGGGTTACATTTGTGGGGATGACCCGTTGTGGCAGTACTAGTTACTTCTGATTGTGCATTATGTAGATGCCCTTGCGAATTTGTTTGAATAGCTTCGGCTGGCTGCACTATTGCATGCAAGACCAGGAACTCGGGGCGGGTTGGCCACAGCAGAGAGCCAATGCTAAAAACTCCGCTTGTTTTGTCAGGCTGAAATCTTACTGATACAGAGTCTTTTGAGAAACACTAGGGAGGCCCGTATGCCGCAGCAGCAGGGATAGGTGGCAGTATGGCAGTACAGCCGTTCATGGGTGTTACAATCCCAAGTGGGACTTAGCGAAGGTTCGCTCAGGGTTGATCGCAGGGTAGTGTTGCAGCGGAAGATTCAATCTCAGGTCAGAGTGAATGTAAATGACTAAGTTGATAATACCGTAGCATGCATACATCGGGTTTATATAAGAATACAAAGGGAATACGAAAAGACCTAGACTAGCCATGTACTCTAAGGGGTACATTCCCTTATTGCAGCGAATTCAAACCGTGCGGCGCGGGAACCCGTTTCAAACCTGTTCCCGCTCTTTTCACTTCGAATGTTTCTGCCTGCATCGGTCTTGATCAGACGGTTACCAGTGTCGCTTCGACTCTTCTGACTACTCGGCTTCATACACTTTAGAGTCGGTCCCTGTAGCATACATGAATGCCTTCTCATAAAGTTTCATATCGTAACACTCCCCTTCATTCCTGGGCGCGCAGGGGGCTGACTCGCTTGACCACTCCAGTGAGGTCGGAACAGTGCTTGTACTGCTGACGTGGCAGTCGCTTGGTGAGAAAGTCGGCTGCCATCTCGGTGGTAGGGCAGTACGTGAGATCAACCTTGCCCTGGTCAATTTCGTCCTTGACGAAAAGGTACCGAAGCGCGATGAGCTTCGTGCGGTTCACGAAACCTGGCTTGTTCGCAATCTTGATGGCACTCTGATTGTCGCAGTGAAGACGAAGGTGGGCGAAGTTGAAATTTTCGCCTCCTGCAGTAGCTCCTTCGCGAACTGCTGCTGTCGCGGCGATGTATTCTGCTTCGACAGGGCAACCAGCTCCTGCTTTTGCGAGTTCCAGGAGATTGGTCCTGTTGGTTCCAGGCGAAAAACGAAGCCGGTTCGGGACCGTCGATTTGCAGGGTCAGCGGCATGATCTGCATCCACGTAGCCGTTGAGGTTGAAGGAGGTTGTCGTCAGCGTGGAGTAGGAGAGCCCGATGTCAGGTGTGGAAATGAAGTACTGTAGGGCGCGTTCCAGATCCAGGTGGTTCTCTGCTACTGGCTTGCGAGAGTACTGTGCCAGTTGGCTGGCGATGTACGAAAGGTCGGGTCGGTAGGTGACAGAGGCGAACAACAAGCACCCCAATTTCTGCTGGTACATTTGGAGTCTTGCGGGCGACAGAGGTTTGTTGTCCGCTTTGTAGTTGGCACTGGGGTTGCGGTAAGGAGTTGAGTGTGGTGCGGGTGAAATGTTGAAGCGTTCCCCCAGCTGCTCTGCGTATTTGGAGGCTGACAGATGAATTGCGTCTGGCGCGTAGGTGATGTTTAACCCCAGAAACTGTGTGACGTTGTGGTTGATGGTGATGTCAACGCGCTGCGCCAGGTTCTCTTCGAACTGATTAAGAAGCTTGTTGCAGGTGCCGGTGTACGGCAGGTCGTCGACGTAGACTGTCAGAAGAATGTAGTCACCGTTAAAGTGAAGGATCGTGCGGCAGCTGCCTGAAGCCGATCTCCAGGAAGATTTTGTGCAGATGCTGCTGCCAGAGAGGCGGCGCTTGCTCTATCCCGTAGATGGATTTCTTCAGTTGGCAGACCCTGGGGTCTCCTTCCCCGTAGGTATGTGGCTGTTCCACGAAGATGGTTGCATCCACCAACGCGTACAAGAACGCGTTCTTCACGTCGATTTGCCGCAGTGGTAGGTGCTTAGCGGCGGCAATGGCGAGTAGAATTCTGACGGAGGTGTGACGACCAACAGGAGCGAAGGTTTGATCGAAGTCGATGCCGTGGCGCCGATCGTACCCGCGTACGACCCAGCGTGCTTTGAAGCGCTCGATGGTGCCATCCGCGTTAGTTTTAAGACGGAAGACCCACTTTTCGCTTAGCACCCTCCTCCCCGTCACTGCTGCACGATCGACTAGGACCCATGTGTCGCGTGATTCCAGTGTTTGTAGCTCCGCGTCCATAGCAGCACGCCACTCCTTGGCGTGGGGACCGGTAAGGGCCTGGCGAGGGTTCTTGGGTTCGACGGCGCGCGTGAGAGTAGTGACAGACGTGTGTAGGCCGAGAAGCTGCAGGCCGGACACGGTGGTGGTGTTGCTGGTGGTGACCTCCACCACATCGTCATCGTCACTCTCGTGGGCAGTTGCGGCGGTGCTGGGCTCAGGTTGGCGACGTGATGGTCCTGGCGCGGGTGTGTCGTCGTCATCGTCGTCGCGCGGGCGAGGCGGAACGCCGGGATGTTCGTCGGCGGGATCGCGGTCGAGTGCTGCTGCTGCTGCTGCCTCGTCCTCTGGGGATGCAAAGCTGCGGCCGCTGTTGACATAGCCGCGTGCCTCGTTGCGACGCTCGTCTTTGATCCACTGATTCAGGGTGAGTCGCTCGTAGAAAAGAATATCACGCGCGGGAACAACCTCCTTGCTGTTAATGTCGAGAATGAGCCAGCCTTTGTGCTCGTTGCTGAGTCCCAAATGAATTCCCCAGCGCGCGCGGTGAGCGAACTTGCCAATTGTGGCTGAAGTCGGCCGATACTGCACCATGCACCCCCAAACCCTCAGCATGGAGGGGTCTCCCCTTGAGCCGGTCCACTTCATGTGCGGGGAAAGGTTGTCCCTGTTGGCCGTGGTGGAGAGAAGGTTGTGCAGGCGCACCGCGTGGTTCATCGCGTAGGGCCAGTACTTCTTGGGTAGGCCGGACTGATTCATGAGGGTGCTATTGACCCTCTCTGCGACGCCTTGCTACTGATGTGCGTAGGGGAGAGACATCTCATGCTTGATCCCTTTTTCAGTGAGGACGCTCTCCAGTTCGTAGCTGCGAAATTCCTTCGCCCCGTCACTCTGCCAATTTTTTAGCTTCCTCCCCGATTGACGTTGCGCATGTGCGAGCCAGATGCGCAGGACCTCTGGAGCCTTCGAGCGAGCATCGACGTTGGCGATCCAGACGTGGCGTGAGTAGGCGTCGATGAAGGTGAGCGTGTACTTTTCACCGTTGATGCCGTCGCAAGTGAGCACGATGAAGTCGCTGTACACCTTCTCTAACTTCTTGTAGCGATTGGTGCTTGGTTCCAGAGATGGGTAGGCGCTGTGAGAGAGAGCAGCTGTGGGGCAAACGGTGCAGGTGATTGGGCGTGAGGTGTTGTGTGGTTCTGTGCCATCGGAGCGCAGCAATGCTCCCGGAGGAAAAATCTTGGCGTGGAGTTAGTTAGCAAGTGTCGGGCGCGAGGGGTGGCCGAGCCGTTGATGCCAGAGATCGTCTTCGGCGTGAATGCCGGAGGTGCGCATGTAGCGTGCAAGATGCTCGGCTGCTTCCGCCTATATTTCTTGCGGAATATGGAGTATGGGTTCCTCCTCTTCTCCTGGTTTTGCTTCGTTGTCCGGCTCACCTGTTTCTGCTTCCGTCGCTGTTTCCCCTTCTGCAGGTACCGTCGTGAGATAGAGTGCGAGAAATTCGCGGTCGGGGATGATGTTGAGCGGAGTCCTTGTTCCTTCGATAAAGCGAGCAAACGGATCTGGACGGGAGATTGGACCAAGTGAATCACGCGGGGGAGTTGGTGGCACATTCCCCTCCTCAATCTCCGTCCAGGGATTGTTCCAGCGATAAGGTGAGCTTGGGGGTGAGCGAGTGCGCGGGGGCCTTCCGAGCGGAACGGCGACTCGTGGAGATTGTTCTCCGCACTCAACCCTCATTTCCCGTTCCATCTCTTCTTCTTCTTCTTCTTTGGTGAGCGGAGCATCCACGTATTCGTCTCCTCCCCATCCGCCTGTGTCGCCCCATCCGCCTCTATGCACTGTGCCGGATGCGCCAGTTGCGGATCCCCATGTTGCACCTTCCTCCGGTATGTAGTCATCGTCTCCCCATGCACCTCGTCGTGCTGATTCTCCGTCCCATCCGGCCGCGACGCGCTCTTCATACAGCTTTTGTTTCTTTTATGCCTTTGCTTGATCTTCCTCCTCCTTGACGCTCAGCTCTTCTTTTGCGTCAGAGTCTTTCCACCCTTTGTCGATCTCCTTGCGGTAGACGTCGCGGGTGTATGGGCGTGGGCGTCCTTCCTCGTCGAATGTTCCGATGTTTGCCTCTAGGACCCATCGGAGGGTTTCTGCGTGTGGCGTTGGGCGTTCTTGCCGCTGTTGACCAAGCCGTTCGTTTTCTTCGCCGAAGATGCGGTGAGTAGTCACGGCGAGTTCCATCTCGGTCATGCCCGTAGTTTCTGCCTCGGCGCTTTCCGCTTCCTGGATTGCCGCATAATCTCGCTCCACTTGTTATGTGCGGCTTGTCGTGGGTGTGTGGCAGGTGGTGCAGAGACCGTTGATGTCGGGCTCGTGCAGGTTGATTTCACGGGGATGAGGGCTGCCGCGAATCCACGGCCTCCCGTCTGGGTGCTGCCATGACCCTTTGTTCATGAAGGGGAAGTCGAGGGGGACGAGATCCACGAGCTCGTCGGATGAAGCCTGACAGCTCGGTATGTCGAAGTCCAGGACGTAGATGCCGTTGATCGAGCGAGCTCGTCCCAGGTATTTGTGCGACTCGGGGGGGGGGGGGGGGGGGGGGGGGTGTCCGGAGGAGCAAAGGTGAGGATGAGGTCGCGTGTATCCGGGGTCCGTGG